GTGTTGTATTTGTGGCATTCTACCTCTAAGCTACATTCTGAGCCTTATTGGGGTTATTTTTGAGCCATGAATCTTTTTTATTAACTGTCGCATCTACTTTGGTGCTGTCTAAATTAGGTATGAGTTTTCACTCATTTAAAATATTAAGCAAAACACAGACAAAGACCTTTCATTGGAGAATACTTCTGAGTTGTTGTTGTGGACTGAGCAGTAAAGCATTTAGATTTGTTTTGTGTGCGTGAATGTTTTGCCTGTGTGCATGCATGTACATACCTGAATTCTACAGGCCTGGGGTTCCAGATGGCTCTGAGGTGTGAGTGTCAGGAATCACATCTTGAGTCCTCTACAAGAACAGTAAGTGCTCATATCCTAACTCCTGACCATCTCTATCCCTGCTAAAACATGGAGACAGGAATATCTTTATGCTACCTAGGCTGATCCCAAACTCCCAGGTCCATGTGATCTGCCTTTGCTTGGAACCACCAGCCCGTATTCCATCTCCTGTATTTTTTAAATTTGATTGACTGGTTGATCAATTTAAAAACATTTTTTAAAAAAGGCAGTCTTGCTGTAATAGTCCAGGTTGGCCTAGAAGCTACAACTTTTGCATTCCTTTTGCCCCAGCTTCTCAAGGACTGAGATTACAGTCCCACCTGAAGCTCAAAGGGAGACCAGGCCAATTTCTTGGGAGAACTAAACAGAAGTAGGATTAGCCAAGTATTGAATATGACTTAAGAATTAATGGTAGGTATATGGCTCTGTGGTAGAGGGCCTGAACTCTACTTAAAAGGCTGAGCCTGTTAGGAAATGTCTTAGTGACAGGTAGCCAGCCAAATGGGAGATGGAAACCCTGTGCTTTCTTTTCAAAAGGTTGAAGTATCCTCCACATATAGAAAATCATCTTCCCACTGTCTACATGTATAGAGAATAAATGTAAAGTTCTGAGGTACTCAGAGCAAGCTTGCATTAGTTGTACCTTTTGAACTCTTAGATTGCAGACACTGGTGATGGATGCTCTGTATGATGAATGCTTGTATGATGTATGATAGCCAACTCTGAAAAATACTTTCATCTTGGCTAGAGAGATGGCTCACAGTTGAATGCTTTTTTTTTTTTTTTTTTTGGTTTCTTACGAGACAGGGTTTCTCTTTATTGTTTTGGAAGCTGTCGGTCCAGCCTAGCCTCGAACTCACAGAGATCTGCCTGCCTCTGCCTCCCGAGTGCTGGGATTAAAGGCGTGTGCCACCACCGCCCAGACAGTTGAATGTTTTTTGCTCTTCCACAGGACCCAGGCTTTATTTCCAGTATTCATATAGCGGCTCACAACCGTTTCTAGTTCCAGTGCCAGGAAACAACACCTTGTGGACTCTTCAGTCACCAGGCATGCATGTGGTGTACATTCATACATGCAGACAAAATACCTATACATGTAAATACATACATTTTAAAAATTAAAACATTGCCTTTTATGGTAGATACTGTCTTTGAAGCCAGGTAGAAGTCTTTGTATAGTCTACATCAAATTCATATCCATATGTTATATTTCTGTTAGTCCAAAAGTTCAAGTCAGAAATTTTTGGAAAAGTTATAGTTTCCATAGAATCTTTGTTCACATGACCTGGTGAAATCACACAATGTTAATAATGAGACCTCAACAGGTAAAAAATATCATCCAGTTGTTTTCTGTTTATGTCAGTCAACAAAAATCTCAGTTTCTGTTTCTTCTCTTTGATTTCTTGAACTCTATATGTAATGGGTCATATGTTTATTCTAAAATTTCAATGCTTTTTTAAAAAATTACATTTGTTTTATTTTGTGTGTGCACAGTCCATGGTATACAGGTAAGGTCAGGAAAACTTGAAGTTGTTTCTCCATCATGCAGGTTTTGGGGATCAAACTCAGGTCATCGGTGAAGATTTCTGTTTGTATCAGTTTGTCAGATTCATTACACAGTCTACTGCAGACACAAAATTGCAACGGACAAGGGCCTTAGTTGCCAGCCTGTTACAAACCAGTGCAGGAGAGGCAAGGAAGAAAATAATAAAAAGGAAAGAAAAAGAAGTGGGGAAAAGCCGGGCGGTGGTGGCGCATGCCTTTAATCCCAGCACTCGGGAGGCAGAGGCAGGCGGATCTCTGTGAGTTTGAGGCCGGGCTGGACCGATAGCCTCCAAAACAATACAGAGAAACCCTGTCTCGTAAAAAACAGAGGGGGGGGAGAGGGAGAGAGAGGAGGGGGGAGCGGGAAGATGAACAGCTGTTCTATGACCAAAGTTTTGTAAGTGGTCTGTATTGAGCTTTTGGGGAAAGGAGTCCACTGTATAGAAGCATGCCTAAGAGTTCCACAGGGGGAAGGAGGCGACTAGTGAAGTAGAGGCAGCCCCAGGACTTACAGGACCCATGGGAAGGAGTTTTCTTTTTAAAGGCTCATGGCTAAAGACTAGGTAAACATAAAATAAAATGAATAGGCTGGGCACAGGTGGCTCACACCTTTAATCCCAGCACTCAGGGTTAGGAGGAAGAGGCAGGCGGATCTTTATGAGTTCAGGGCCATCCTGGACTATAGAGCCAAGTTCCAGGACAACCAACGCTGTACAGAAAAACTCCCTAGAAACCTAAACAAAATAAATGAATAAATATAATTTAAAATGTAAAACTGGCTGCCTTGTAGAATTGTGTCTGTCCCAAAGTGCTCTGCCACTATATTGTCCCAACCCTTTCAGCCAGGACCTCTAGGGAGGAAAGTACCTGTTTGGGCAAGAAGCCTGGGTAAAGAAAAGAATCCACAAATGAATCCAATGTACAGAGTGCTGAAAACTACTGTTTTGTTTTTTCTTTAACAATATTTTGTGTGTATGACAGTTTTACCTGCCTGGTTCTCACTGAGGTCAGAAGAGAGAGTTAGATTAGAGTTAGACAGTTGGGACACGAGTGCTGAGAAATGAATCCTGGTCCTCTGCGATAGCAACAAGTGCTATTAACCACCAAACCAACCCTCATCCCCCTGAAAACTACTGATTTAAAGAAGCCAAAGCAACAGTGTCCCAAATAACCCGGTGCTAGGGCACACTGCAGACCACATGAAGAGAGCACCAACTGCCTGTAAAATAGGCAGTTTCTCGAATATCCCACATCTAAGATTCCTCAAGATACCAAAAAGGCTACTGCACCACTCATTATTGCAGAGCTCTCAAGTGCCAGTAGTGGCTCCAAACAAACACCAGCTTTGAAAACAGTCACCAGACACGGTAAATAAATTGTCTGTAATCCCAGCACTTGGGAAACTGAGGCAGGAAGATCACTATCATTTTGAGGATACCTTGTCTACAGAATATATTCCTGGCTGGCTTGGACAATGTAGTTAGACACTATCTTAAAATAAAACTGAGAATAGTGGGTTGATCTTGTACCCCAGTGATGGAACACTTGTCTTTTATGTGCAAAGTCCTAAATTCAATCTCCAGTACTACAAAAAATAATCTGTTGCTGACCTACAACAGTATTGTTAATGGCATCTAAGGAACCCTGTTTTAGATTCTCTTTTTAAAAAAAGGAGAGGTGGATGTTGGTGGTGCATTCCTTTAATCCCAGCACTCGGTAGGCAAAAGGCAGGCGGATCTCTGTGAGTTCGAGGCCAGCCTGGTCTACAGATCGAGTGCCAGGATAGACTCCAGAGCTACACAGAGAAACCTTGTCTCAAAAACCAAAAGGGGGGGGGGGCAGTCTTAAATGCCAAGTCTTTCACATTACACCTGACTTCCTTACCTTCACTCTAACAGAGGACTAAGAGCACTCTATAAGGTCGAAACTGGCAAAGAAGCATAGATCTGTGAAGTTCTGGTATAGTTAACGTTTAGATAATTACCCCAGATTCATCACAGTTGGTGACAGCAAAAACCAATCCAACAAAGGGTGTGGTGATGCTCGGCTTTTAATCCTAGTATTTAGGAGGCAGAGGCAGGTAGCTTTCTACCTACTTAGCAAGTTCCATGCAAGCCAGCTACCTAGTGGGACCTTGTCTGGGTGGGGGGAATAAAGAGAAAGGGGGGGGATTGGAGAGATGGTTCAGTGGTTAAGAGCAGTGACTTCTTTCAGAAGAGCACTATGTGGTGGCTCACAAACATGTAGTGATAGTTGTTGGGGATCTGACGCCTCTCTTGGCTCTGCCACAGTGCATGCACCTCATGCACTTACACGCGTGCGGAGCAGTCACACCCATACAATAGTTGTAAACCCTTTAGGAAATAATTGTCTTCATTTGCCAGCACGTGTTCCCACTGCACACACATCACTTCTCTGTGTGTCTGCATGTCCTTCTTGAGCCAGTTGTGCAAAGATCACAGTGGCTCACTGGTGTAGCTGTGTGCTGTTGGAGTGGCAGAGGGCTGGAGCCCGAGGAGAGGGTCTCTTTCTTTGTACTACCTCTCATTCTGAAAGAGGTAGGATCAGCTTCACACGGAACCGCGATGGTAGAGCCTGCTGGGCAAACATTTTCTCCAGCTTCTGCTCTCGTTGACTTTGCTACTGTGGCACTGGGGGGAAGCCAGTGGAGCCGCACGTGAGGTGTGTCTCAGGAGGACCTCTATTGCAGATGGCTCCTACTCTACTATCGCTCAGAGTCTCCCTGGAGAATCATTTGGAGTCACAAAATCTCCTGTGATCCTAATGTAGTTCATTGGGGCTACACAGGTTTTTATTGGCTCTCGGGTGTTTAGATAATGAATCAGACCAAGTTTAGTCACAAACTATTTTTTAGATGCCAAAATAAATTCAGAGTGTGGTACTTGTTCCTCTCAGGACTGCTGCTTTTTCCATTAGTGAAAGTATTTGGGAATACTTTTTGGTAATACTTCAGGGTTACTCTGAATTTCTATACTATTTTATTCATAGGAACAGGGTAATAAATATAAGTAATAAAGCGGTTATCTAAGAAAAACGTAAATGTATTCTGTAAACAGTATAACATTTAATAACATAGGGGGTTGTCTTTTTTTTTTTTTTAGCTCTTCAGAGAAGTAAGAATAATGAAGATTTTAAATCATCCAAACATAGGTACTTTCTGTTTTCTTAAATACTTTGGGTTTTAAATATGCAATCTTGAAACTATGTCACGAAGCTAAACATGTATTTGTGAAGTGATAGGACTCTACCCCCTTTCTCCCAACCCAGGTATACTTTTAATAAAATAATATAACATTACTGTTTGTACTAGCTCTTTGAAATTACAGGTATTAAACATTTTGACTTAAGCTTTAATGCCATAGGAATATTTATAATCAGGCTGATTTATTTTTCGGTGTATTGGGAAATATAATTGTATTTCATTGGTTGATAAGATTTTTGAAGATAAACTTTTGCTGTGTCTGTGTTCCTAAGAAAATATTTGTACTAAGTGTATGTAAAAAATTTGATTCTATATATCATAATAGGACTTTTAAATAGTGTAGCTGCATTTTTGTAAAGTAATGGCTGCTTTTTCTAAAAGTATTTCAAGAGTAAATGAGATAGGTAATGTTTATGAATTCTTCAGAATAGAAAAATAACATATAACCAAAAGAGGGGGGGGGGAGTGGAGGGGTGTCCTAGAACTCACTCTGTAGACCAGGAAGAAACTCAGAGATCTGCCTATCTCTGTCTCCCTGGTGGGGTTAAAGGTGTGCACCACCACCTCAGCTAGTTTTAAAATTTAAGACTCATATGGCATTAAGATAATTTTCTCACAGTGGGTGGTGGCGAATGGCCTTTCCAGCACTCAGGAGGCAGAGGCAGGTGGATCTCTGTGAGTTTGAAACTAGCCTAGTCTACCAGAGCTAGTTCTAGGACAACCTCCAAAGCCACAGAGAAACCCTGTCTCAAAAAACCAAAAACAACAACAAAAGACAATTTTCTCAAAAGAGCCACTATCTGCTTTGCATATTAAAAATATCTTTATTTTTATATTGATTACTTACTTACCAGTACTGTCTTTACTTTCTCAAGTTAGTTTTCTTAACAATTTGAACAAAGAGGCTAAGTAATGGTCTGAGAATTTCATTAGTTCATTTAATACTAACTACTTTGTCAGGTATTTTCTTTGGTGTAGTATCTTATTAAATCATCAAAAAATCCTATTTTTTTAAAGAAAATTTTAAAGGAAATAACAAAATTAAAGTAGATCTGTACAGCAGTAATTTAATAGTTTCAAAGATTTATTTCATATTCCTTTAAAAATATGTTTATTTTTAATTGATGTGTTCTGCAGCATTAAAAATTAGCAGAAATTCAAAGTTCTAGCTAAAGAAAGGAACCATCATAGCAAACTGTCATTGACCCCACCCCTGTAAAATCATTCTTTTTTGTTTTGTTTTTTGTTTGGGTTTAGTTTTTAGAAATGTGTAGCTCTGACTGTCCTGGAACTCACTATGTAGACCATTCTATAGATTTCCCCAGCAAGCCCAAGACCCTATGCTCAGACCTCAGTTCCAGAGGAAAGAAAAAGAGTTTGTTTTTGCTGCCTGTGTCACTTGCCTGTAATTTTAGCTTCCTGGGAGGCTTAGATGAGAAAAGGCTAAATCCATGGCTTAATAAACTGCAGAATGAGGTCAGGGCCAGCCTTGCAATTTAGATCATATCTCAAAATAAGTATAAAAAATCTTTGGGAATAATCTTGACTAGCATTTGTGAGATTCTAGATTCAATTCTCAGTACTACAAAAGAAGAAAAATTGTTAATTGCCATATAACTCCTTCTAGTTATTTGTAGTTTTACTTTCAGAATATGAACAAAAGGACCTAGTTCTTTGAGAGCTGCAATATGTTCCCCAAGTTACAGAAGGCGATAGGTTGAGCTGCTGTAGGACAGCCCACTCACAAACACACCATCGTAGACAGTGACAGGGAGAAAGGGGGGGAGAAACCCACATGTGGTCAGAGCAGTCTCACTACCCAGAAATGATCATTGTTTTTATGGTTCTTTGTTTTAACAAAATTCTGTAGTATAGGACATTATTCTTTTAATCCCTCTCTGAAACCTTTAACAGGAAAAGGTTGGGGTGTGTTTGTAGCTTATAGATGCATGTTTTGTACATATAGACATTTGTTCTTTTTTCTCATCTGTCCTCTCCCTCCAGTGAAGTTGTTTGAGGTCATTGAAACAGAAAAAACCCTCTACTTAATCATGGAATATGCGAGTGGAGGTAAGCACGTTTATATTGCTTACAGAGTGAGAGTATGTGTATGTGTCTTCCTTTTTTTCTCTTTTAGAACAATGTGCAAGCTGCACATTGATGGTGCACGCCTTTAATTTAATCCCAGCATTTGGGAAGCAGAGGCAGGCGGATCTCTGTGAGTTCGAGACCAGCCTGGTCTACAAGAGCTAGTTCCAGGACAGCCTCCAAAGCCACAGAGAAACCCTGTCTCAAAAAAAACCCCATAAAGGAAAAAAAAAAACAAAAACAAAAAACAATGTACAGCCACAGTGCCTGTAGCCATTGGAATTTTATGTAATACTCATAGATGTTGTACAGAGTGAGATGTGGTATCAGAGTGAGAAATAGTGGCCTCCCTCACCTTGTCAGTTATGTGGATTGTGGTGTTTGATTATTAGCATTGTTGTTTTTTAAATAATTTACTTATTTAGTTTTACTTTATGTACATTGGTATTTTGCCTGCATGTATGTCTTTGTGAGGATGTCAGATCTCCTAGAACGGTAGTTGCAGGCAGTTGTGAGCTGCCATGTGGGTGCTGGGATTGAACCCAGGTTTTCTGGAAGAGTAATCAGTGCTCTTACCTGCTGAGCCATCTCTCCAGCCTAGCATTGCTGTCTTTATTACATTTATTTGTAGAAGTAAGTTTCTGTCTTACCCTGTTCCACAGCCATTTAGTCCCAAATAAACATTCAGAGGCTTATGTTATATTATAAACTGGCTTTGGTTCAGGCTTCTTATTGGCTAGCTCTCTCTTTATTATAAACCCATTTCTATTAATCTATGTATGTCCATGTGGTCTTGACTTACTGGTCATGTCCGGGTCTCTTGTTTCCTTGGCATGGCATTTCCCTGACTCTGCCTGCTACCTTTTTCTCTCTCCCTGTTTGAATTTCCCTGCCTGACTACATCCTGCCTGTTCATTGACTGAAACAGCTTTATTCATCAACCAATAAAAGAAGCATATATTCACAGCACGCAGAAGGACATCCCTCATCATTATTTGTTACTTATATGTGCGATGGCGCACGTGTAGAGGTCAAAGCACAATTTGGAGGACTTGGTTCCTTGTTTTCACCATGGCCTTGAACTCAAAATGATCAGATTTGCGTGAGTAGCACTCACCTTCAGAGCCATCTCTCTGACTCCACTTTTAGCATTTCTTTCTAGTTGATAATACACAACTCTCATTTTTTCATTGTGGTAGAATATGCTGACAAACACTAACCAGCACATGTATTGTTTTATAAACCCCTAGAGACACAACTTGTCACTTGCTGTAGGATCATACTTCTGTCATTCATTCATCCAAGTTGTAAAACCTAGAAGTAGAAAGTTCAACCATAGCTTTAATGTTGTGAATGAACTAGTAAATCAAGACTGTAAGCTTGTTGCGACTGACTCAGTGGTTAAGAGCATTTGCTGCTCTTGGGGGGAACCCAGGTTCAGTTTCCTGTACCCACATAGAGGCTCACAACCACCTTTAACTCCAGTTCCAGGGGGATCCATGGTGACCTCCAAGGGCACCATGCTCACACATGATACATAGACATACATGCAAGCAAAACAGCCACACACACAAGACAATTTTAAATATTAAAAAACAATTATAAGCTTTGTGACAGGATGGAATGTGTTATAGTAGATGTAACCAACTCCAGTTCTTCCATATTCTAAATTCACTATTGACCGTATATTTGTATTAATTTTTATCATATTTAGGATTTATTACTTTTATTTGTGTATTTATGGATGGGGTTGCATGAATTTTTGTATACCACGTGAGTGCAGGTGCCCACAGGGCATCTGATCCCCTGGAATTGGAATTACAGGCAGGTGTGAGCCTCTTTATGTGGGTGCTAGGAACTGAGCCCAGGTCCTCTGCAAGAGCAGTAAGCGCCACTACTCCCTGTTAGGGTTTCTCTGCGTAGCCCTGGATGTCCTGAAACTCACTTTTTGGACCAGACTGGCCTTGATCCGCCTGCCTCTGCCGCTTAAGTGCTGAGATTAAAGGTGTGTGCCGCCATCGGCCAGTTTTTTTTTTTTTTTAAAGATAGTTTCTCCTTATGTAGCCCTCCCTCCCTCCCTTATTCCTTCCTTCCATTTGTTTGTTTGAGACAGGTTTTCACTGTATAGTCTTTACTACCTTGGACTTACTCTGAGACCAAGCTGATCATATAAATTTCCCCCTGAATGCTAGCAATAAAGGCAGTGCCTTTTCATTTGGTAGAATCTTAGAATTGCTCAGAAAGGTATCTGCCAAGGGTGCCATAGCTAGCTAGTTTCAAGGACCACACTAGAAATAAAGGCATTCTGAACTTCCACATTTGGTCCTTCCATCCCAGCCATGCTGTCCCTGACCTTGACAGGAATGCCGCTCAGCTTAGTAAATAAATAGCCTTTAGAGGCTTTTAGTCGAGCTGCTTAATCTGAGTTTTAATATGTTTTTAATAGGAACATTTTTTCTGGCTTATAAATTGTTTTCCTTAAAACTTAGTTATTGTGATTCATAGTTATAGGAATCTCTTAAGAGGTTTATACTGTATTTTAATGTATTAATAAATTATGAATTAGCTATTTGGACCTCATCTGTGGTCTGTAAATAGGTTTCATCCACTAATAGTTTTCTTGTTTTTTTTTTTTTAATTTTATGTGTGTGTGATGTATGTGTGTATGGATGGGTCTTGTGCTTGTACATGGATGTGCACAGAAAACAGAATGGGGTTAGGTTTCCTCCTTTATTGCTCTTTATCCCTTATTCCTTTAAGGTAGGATCTCTCCTTGAAACTTGAAATATAATTTCAGCGAGGCTGTCAGCCCCTAAGCTCTAGAGGTCATCCTGACTCTCCCCTCTGGCACTGTGTTATAGGTTGTGGCCACCTCTGTCTTGTTCCAACCTCATCTTGGTTGAGTAGCAAGCACTTTTAACCACTGAGTCAGGTTTCTGCCCCCACGTATTTGTTTGTTTGTTTGTTTTGGGAGTGTAGGTGTGTATGGTTTTTGTTTGTTAATTTGTTTGGTATGAGAAGGTCTCATGTATCTCAGGCTAGCCATGAACTTGTGTAGCTGTATTCATGTGTGTTACTTTTACTGTGTTAAAACACAATGACCAAAACAACTTATAGAAGATAGAGTTTATTTGCGCTTTAGTTTCAGAGAAATCAGCATGCATCATGTCAGGGAGACATAGCAGGAAGCCTCAGTCCTATCAGCAGGATCAGAGAGCTGAGGTCACTTTTGTCACCACTAGCACAGAGCACGTAGGGTAAGGTTTTAAGCTCTCAAAGCTCACCCATCGTGAACACACTTCTTTCAGCAAGATCATACCTAGAAATCTTCCCAAACAACTGTGAGCCAAGTATTCAAGTACCAGAGTGTATGAGAGCTCTCATCTAAAGCACTACAGTAGTCAAAGATGACACTAAACTGGTCCTTGTGCCTCCATTGTCCTGTGATGGGCTTGCTGCTGGGTACACCAGCACACCAAGCTCTGCTGGTATCGCCCTTACATGTTCTGAGCCTCACTGCTCACCCTACTTAGCCATTCATGCTCATGCTTGACTTGATTACTGAGGGTCTTACCGTGGGATTCCTCTCTTTCCCCTCATCCTGACTCTTCCTACTTTCAAATTCTGTGATTCTTTTATGAAATCAATTATTTCTTCTGTTTCTCACCTCATTCAGAATCTAGCCAGAGCCCTTTCCAATACCTGCTGAACTCTTGTGGACCTGCCATGTACTCTCCCAATTGCACACACTTCCTCAATATCTATGGCTGCCTTATGTTCTCTCTCTCCCTCTCTCCCTCTCTCCCTCTCTCTCCCTCTCTCCCTCTCTCCCTCTCTCCCTCTCCCTCCCTCCCTCCCTCCCTCCCTCTCTCCCTCTCTCCCTCTCTCCCTCTCTCCCTCTCTCCCTCTCTCCCTCTCTCCCTCTCTCCCTCTCCCTCCCTCCCTCCCTCCCTCCCTCCCTCCCTCCCTCCCTCCCTCCCTCCCTCTCTCTCTCTGTCTCTCGCTCTCGCTCTCTCTCTCGCTCTCTCTCCCTCCCCCTCCTCTCTTTTCTCTCCTTTCCCTCTCATTGCCTTATTCTCTCTATCATATATGTATGCATGCATGCAGACTTTCACTCTTGACAGTTTCATTGTCCACTCTGTCAGATATAAGCAGAGTATAAACACGTGCCCTACAAACTCTTGTTATTTTCTTCCTTTTCTTCACAGCATTCATGGACCTCTGATATATTCTATACATGTGTGTCCATTGCTTCTCTCATTAGCCAGCAAATTCCATTAGGAAAGGGGATCTGAATTTGCTGTTTGTTTGTTTATTTTTTCTCTTTACTCTTTTGTTTTGGGGAGTGGACTGCCACCCATCTCTCAAATAAATCACACAGAATGTTATCTTTCTTATGAATGCCCAACCTTAGCATGGCTTGTTTCCTGCTAGCTTTTCTTACATTATCCTGTCTATCTTTTGCCTCTGGGCTTTTTCCTTTCTCTATTTCTGTATACTTTCTTTACTTCTTACTCCATGGCTGGCTTTGTAGCTGGGTGGCTGTAGTTGAGTCCTCTTCCCAGATTTCTCCTGCTCTTTATTCTCTCTGCCCACCAGCCTGGCTGTCCTTTCTTCCGCTTTGCTATTGGTCGTTCAGCTCCATATTAGATCAGTCAGGTGTTTTAAACAGGCAAAGTAACGCAGCTTCACAGAGTTAAACAACGGCAACATAAAAGAATGCGACACATCTTTGCACCAAATGTTCCACCTCATAAACGAAAGTAACACATCTTAGGCTAACATTGCCTTGCAGTTAGTTGGGGACTAAAAACATTTGCTGAGTGAAGTAATGCTTTGTGGTAATAATCTTTAGGAAGATTCATTTTGCAGGGGAGACCAGGCTAGCCTAGAACCCAGAGATATTCCATGTGCTGGAGTTAAAGGTGTGCGCCACCACGCATGGTTTACGTTTCCATCTTGATTGCTCAGTTTCTGTTGAGACCCAAGCTGCATAATTTAAACATGTTATGGTTTCTCCTCAGCCTGGGGATTATCCTTGTGAGCTAAGATCTTAAGCTTTGGTTATAGCTTAGTGACCATGTTTTACTTCATGCTTACATTTAAAATACCTAAATTTTAAAATTGGAGTTAGAGAGTATGCTCAGTGATTAGGAGCCACATAGTGGCTCACAACATCCATTAGGAACTCAAGTTCTAAGGGAATAAAAATACTTCTTTTTGACCTCTGCACACACTAGGTATATATCCAGACAAAACATTCACACATGTAAAATAAATAAACCTAAAAGATTATTAAATAAAAAGACTAGAATTTTGTTAAAAATGAATGTTACCTATTTGTGAGAAAATTAATGCTCAGGTGCAGGATATCTGCCTAATTTTTATTTCTTTTTGTTATAGGTGAAGTATTTGACTATTTGGTTGCACATGGAAGAATGAAGGAAAAAGAAGCAAGAGCTAAATTTAGACAGGTATGAATTAATACGTCTTTGGCTTGTTAACTCAATAAGTTGCATTGTTAGTACTATTAGAGATGCGATTAAGAGTGGCATCTGGAGCTGGGGAGTGACTCAGTGAGTGAAGTGCGTGCTGGGCAAGCATGCAGACCTAAGTTCAGGTCCCCAAGAGCACACAGAAAACAGCATAGGGATTTGCACCTACAACCCCAGTGCTGGAGGGAGCAGCTAGCTAATCAGTGAGCCAGGTGTACTGAGGACTGTGTTCCAAAAATAAGACAGAAAGCAGACAAGGAAGACAATGCTGACCTCTGGCCTCTTCACAGACCCACAGTCAAACATAAAGGTGGGGAGCTACTGACAAAAAGCACCTAGTATTGACCTCTGGGCTCCACACAATCTTTCAGAACATTGATTGGCCATTAAAATTTTTTAAGTACTTTTCATACCTAAAACATTGTATTAGCAGTGAATGCGAATCACACTTGATGGAGTCTATAGGGATTTAAGTTGTATTTAGTGTTTATGCATGGACGAGCACAGATTGGCCAGGGTGTGAATGTAGATGTTAGAATGACCTACATAGTTCAGTTCTTTCCTTCTACATGTGTGTGTGCCCCAGAGATTGGTGGCGTCAGGCTTGATGGCAAGTGCCTTTGCCTGTTGAGCCATCTCAAAGCCCAAGGGAGAAGACACTCAGGCTCTATAAATCATTGTTTCACTGGGAGATGGGAGCCAGCCTGCTCTGTAGAGTGAGTTCCAGGACATCAAAGCCTACGCAGAGAGATACTGTCTTGAAAAACAGAAAGAAAGAATTATTTCTAGCTTCGTACCAGAAAATCAGCAATAGATTTCAGTATCTTCCATTTCTTGTTTTATCAGGTTAGCTTTGAGTTGTTTGGAGCTAAAGGAAGAGATATGAAAAGTGTCAGGAGATTGTATGATGTGATTCAAAAGCAGAGTTTGAAAGTAACCTTCAATAAAAACCTCAACATCAGAAAATATGTTTACCAGGGTTGGAAATATGACCCAGTGGGTGGAGAACCTGCTAGCATCCATGAAGCCCTGGGCTCCATCCCAGCACCACATAAACCCAGTGTGGCACGCTACATGCCTTCAGTCCTGGAACTTGGGTTTGGAAGCAGAAGGATCAGAAGGAGTTCAGGATCGTTGCCATCTGTAGAAAGTTCAAGGCTAACCTGGGCTACACAAAACCATCTTAAAATTTGAATACAACAAGCAGGGTGTGGTGGTGGCATGCTCCTTTAACCTCTCAGTGCTCAGGAGGCAAAGCAGGGATCTATGCATTTGGGGCCAGCTTGGCTTACAGAGCCATTTCCAGGCCAATCAGAGCCACATAGTGAGACTGTCTCAGAAGAAACAAGCAAAAACCCCAAAGAAGAAGTAAAGATGAATGAATATTGTGATCGTGAGTATGCACCATTGGTAACTAACCCACTTTTCTCGTGTCTAGATTGTGTCTGCAGTACAGTATTGCCACCAAAAACGGATCGTTCACAGAGACCTCAAGGTGAGCCCAAGCATCCTTGTTACATTATGTATAGTTCTCTTGGTGGCCGTTTTGCATACAAAAATTAGATTGTGTTGTTGAATAAGAAAAAAGTAAGTTTGGTTAAGAGTCCTAACTGCTTTCCCCAGAGGTCCTGGGTTCAATTCCCAGCACCCACATGACAGCTAACAACTCCCAAGATCTGACACCCTCACACAGACATACTTGCAGTCAAAACACCAATGTTCATAAAATAAATATGTTAAGCCAGACGCAATGGCACCACATTTAGTTCAAGCAGAGGCAGGTGGATTTCTGTGAGTTCAAGGCCAGCCTGATCTACAAGTAAGTTCTAGGACACCCAGGGCTACACAGAGAAACCCTGTTTCAAAAAACCTAAATAAATAAATGTTTTTAAGCATGATAATATTTTTTTTGTTTTGTTTTGTTTTGTTTTTTTTGTTTTGGTTTGGTTTTTCGAGACAGGGTTTCTCTGGCTTTGGAGCCTGTCCTAGAACTCGCTTGGTAGTCCAGGCTGGTCTCGAACTCACAGAGATCTGCTTGCCTCTGCCTCCCGAGTGCTTAGATTATAAAGGTGTGCGCCACCAACGCCCGGCGATAATAATTTTTTAAAAAAGCTTATAATGATTGATTCCCTTTGACCAAGATACATAGTGAAGAGGTTTTTGTTATTGTTGTTAAATGAAGTTGATAAAAGGTATTTCAGGGGAAGAAGAGGGAGCTAGGATTGACATGTGAAGCAAGCTTGTTTCTAACATAAATGAAGAAAAGGGCATTTCAGGTCTTTATCTCTGGAGGACAGTCACCCGTAGTCACACAGAGGTCTCCTGGACAGTGGCTGCCTGTGCCCGTGTGGGAAGGCACTCTGTCTCGTAAGCTCTGGTGCTTGTTGGGCTGCATCTCTGCTCTCCTGGCAGAGCAGCTTTCTTAGAGGTCTTCAGCTTGGCCTCACCCGTGGGCAGTCCTCTTCCCTCTTCTTGTTACTGGAACTTGAGCACCTCTGCTGGCCCCCACCCTGCTTCCAGACACACCCTCTTCCTCTCTGTATCTCGCAGCGCATTCTCTAGACCTCGATCTTCACTCTCCTCGCAGCATTACTGTCTCCTTGCTTGCTCCTCTCAGCACCCACCCTGCGTGTGTCCATTCTGGCAGTCTGTCCCTGCAGCCAGAGCTGTCCTTTCTTTTTCATTGTGGTGACTGCTTCTCAAGAGCCTCCTGCTCAGTCTCCATTCAGTCACCACTTCCTTTTGCTGCTCCTTCCTGCTCTTCTATGCCATTTCTACTCTCCAGAGCCAGACAGTCATGGAATAATCAGTAAAAACACAGTTTCCTGTTTGTCTACTCCTGATTTTCCCCTCTTCCCATTGTATCTTTAGTTCTGTCTGTCTGTCTGTCTCCGTGCCCATGCCTTTGTGTCGGGGGCCTCTGGACTTCTGTGGGTTTAAGGACAACCTGATTACAGTAGGGTAGCCAGAGTTAAAATGATGAGACCCTCTCTGCAAACAAAAGTACACATAAGATTGTTATTTCCAGCCCAGCACTTGAAAGTCAGGGGCAGGTGGATCTCTGAGTTTGAGGACAGCCACAAGGCTACACAGAGAAACCCTGTCTTGAAAAACCAAAAAAGGGAAAAAAAATTGTCATTTCCTTGTTTAACAAAATCTTCAGTGGTTTTCTGGCACCTTGAGGGTAGAAACTAGTGTGTAAGCCCTGTCTGTTTGGTGTCCTCTACCTCCCCAGTCACTTCTTTGGAGCATCTCTCTCCACACATTGTTTTTCAGTTGTCAACAGAGATGTACTCTCCTGCGACTCTTTATTCTTCCCCCAGACACCCTGCTCGCTCACAGTCTGTACCTTTCTCAGTCTCACCTCCTCCTCAGTTTCACCTGTCTTGCTCACCCTTGTACCCCAGACAGCAGTCTCACACCTGCTTAATGCCTGTCTGCTAAAATCAGCAGAAGTGACTGGTTTGTCTTTGAGGTGAGGTTGGGAGTTCTTTTCCCCTTCATTTAGTAGTTTTTATGAAATGGGGCTACCTAAAACAAATATCTGTATTTTTTAAAAGACTCTTATTAATTGAAGAAGCTTTTTACATTTTTCTTGACCTTGAAGTATTTGGTATTTAAACTTGTTGTAATTAATCTTTAATTGCTTATTAATATCAAGTTAGGAATATAATTTATCTCTTTTTCTCTAGAAATAGTGTTTTTACATTTACTGACTAGGAGATAAGTTGTTGTAAAAAGCCTTTATGAAATGCCTCATAATTGTATTTTAGTTAAGTTTCATTTTTGTCTTGATGTTTTTTTCTCTAGGCTGAAAATCTGTTATTAGATGCGGATATGAACATTAAAATAGCAGATTTTGGTTTTAGCAATGAATTTACTGTTGGCAGTAAACTAGACACGTTCTGTGGTAGTCCTCCATATGCAGCCCCTGAGCTCTTCCAGGGCAAGAAGTATGACGGGCCCGAAGTGGATGTGTGGAGTCTCGGCGTCATTCTGTACACCCTCGTCAGTGGGTCACTTCCCTTTGATGGTCAAAACCTGAAGGTATAAGAAGCAGCTGCAGCCATGCTCTTCAAAAACTAAGGATTTTTATAAAATCGTATAGATTGACGTTTATTAATGTTAAATTTGTATGGATGCTTTTATGAGCTTGCTTTTAACCTAAAAGTTAATTATTATTTCTTTCCTGCATTCCCAAAGGAACTGAGAGAGAGAGTACTACGAGGGAAATACAGAATCCCATTCTACATGTCCACAGACTGTGAAAACCTTCTCAAACGCTTCCTGGTGCTGAACCCAGTTAAACGTGGCACTCTCGAGGTAACCACACCAGTGGGGAGGGAGGTATTTAACAGAATTTTGTTTAGTTTGTGTGACACCAAACACTTGCTGGGTTTTAAGTAGTAAGTAAAACAAACAAACAATTGCCTTAATTTTCCTTTTGTTATTCAATAAAATTTTGAAAATCATGACCATAAATATTGTGATTGTTGAGATACTTTTTTCTGTGCTACTAACACATAGTTCCCCTTTCAGCAAATCATGAAGGACAGGTGGATCAATGCAGGGCATGAGGAAGACGAGCTTAAGCCATTTGTTGAACCAGAACTAGACATCTCAGACCAGAAAAGAATAGGTAATTGCCCATGTCTCCGTGTGTGTGTGTGTGTGTGTGTGTGTGTGTGTGTGTGTGTGTGTGTGTGTGTGTGTGTGTGTGTGTGTACTATACCTGTTTTCGTCTGTGTGTCTCAGAAATGAAGGGAGGGTTAGCATGGAATTTAGAGATCCGCTTATCTGTTCTGTCTTAATTAAGAGCTTAGCTAGGCCGGGCGTTGGTGGCGCACGCCTTAAATCCCAGCACTTGGGAGGCAGAGGCGGGAGGATCTCTGTGAGTTCGAGGCCAGCCTGGTCTACCAAGCGAGTTCCAGGACAGACAGTCTCCAAAACAATACAGAGAAACCCTGTCTCAAAAAACCAAAAAAAATTTAAAAAAAAAAAAAAAAAAAAAGAGCTTAGCCAGGCAGCGGTGACACACACCTTTAATCCCAGCACTTGGGAGGTAGAGGTAGGGGATCTCTCTGAGTTTGAGGCTAGCCTGGTCTACAGAGAGAGTTCCAGGCTATACAAAGAAACCCTGTCTAGCCGGGCGGTGGTGGCACACGCCTTTAATCCCAGCACTCGGGAGGCAGAGGCAGGCGGATCTCTGTGAGTTCGAGGCCAGGCTGGACCGACAGCCTCCAAAACAATACAGAGAAACCCTGTCTCATAAAACCAAAAAAAAAAAAAAAAAAAAGAAACCCTGTCAAACAAAAACAAAGCAAAATTGGGAGCTTAATCTACAGTCTTTAGCAGCACCAATGAGACATGTTCAGCAGCTCTTCTGTGATAGGAAATGTATAATCTTCTAAATCAAATGAAATTCTTTTTCTCTATGCTAGCATGATTTCTAATCCAAATAAAATATATAAACCATATTTTATCTTTTAGATATTATGGTGGGAATGGGATATTCACAAGAAGAAATTCAAGAATCTCTTAGTAAAATGAAGTATGATGAAATCACAGCTACATACTTGTTATTGGGAAGAAAATCTTCAGAGGTAAGAGTGTTTAGAGTGGAAAAGCTAAGTGCGCTGTGTTAGAAGGATGGGTGTTCGGTGCATGATGGCACATGCCCAGAGACCTTGCACTCAGGAAGTGGAGACAGGAGGAGACTCAGGGACTTATGCACTCCTCACTGCACTACGAAAGATCCTGTCTCCAAACAGATTTGACTTTATTTTTTAAAAAGTAAAGATTATTAGTTTATATAAACCATTTCCTTAATTTTTTAAATATAACATTTGGTATTCATTTTAAAACTTTGCCTACTTGTAGTCTAACTTCATTGACAGTTTTAAACTACTACTTTATATTTTTGGTTGATCCATTTCTCTAGCCCATAAGCTACTATTTTAACGTTAATAACCCTCTATGATCAGTAATGTCAGAAGCCTGTATAATCGTGAGTTAACTTTAGTCATTAATAGTTTGAAAATGATTTAAAATACCAAAGGAAATAGAGTATAATGTTTTAGTTCTTCGAAAAGGTCAGGAAGGAGACTGTTAACATATAATCTCATTCTCTGGAGTCAGAAAATACTTTTGACTGAGTTTAAGTTGTGTTTTGTACATTGTGATAGCTCCTCTCTGACCGGGAGGAGTGTGTCACCAGGAGTTTCCTGACCAGCCATTGGGCTCTGTGTGTGGTTGCTGCTCTTCTCATTCTCCCGTAGCTGGACGGTAGTGACTCCAGTTCTAGCAGCAACCTTTCACTTGCTAAGGTGCGGCCAAGCAGTGACCTCAGCAACAGCACCGGACAGTCTCCTCATCACAAAGTGCAGAGAAGTGTTTCTTCAAGTCAGAAGCAGAGACGGTACAGTGACCATGGTAAGTCTAGATTATTCCAGTAGCTTCTGAATGTCTTCTCTTGTATACAGCCTGGTGGGCAGAAAGGGACTTGCTAGCATTAGGGGGCTGGTATGATTAAGGTCCCCTAACTTTTTGGAACATTTGGTAGACTTTGCTGGCTAAGGCTTAGAGAACGAAAACCTCATCTGTAGTTATGCATATCTCTGTTGTACAACTCTTTGTCAGGTTACTGTCCAGAGCATTGCGACTGGTAAAGGTATCTATACTGATAGCAACATTCTCTGTTCATGCAGTCAGTGTTGTAACAACTAACCTTAGGAGGCTATTGAGCACTTACATGTAGGAAATGACTTTAAGATTTTGTTTTCATGTGTGTGAGTATTTTAACTTCATATATTTATGTGCAACCACTCGTGCCTGGTGCCTATGGAGGCCAGAAGAGTGTGTCAGATCCCTAGGAACTGGAGTTATAGATGCTTGTGAGTCATAGTGTGGGTGCTGGGAACCAAACCTGGTTCTTTTGTGAGAGTAGGCAGTGCTCTTAACTTCTAAATCCTCTTCCCAGCCTCATGGTTTTCTCTTTTAACTTCAATTAAAAGTAAAAACCTGCCAGGCGTTGGTGGCGCATGCCTTAAATCCCAGCACTCGGGAGGCAGAAGCAGGTGGATCTCTGTGAGTTCTAGGCCAGCCCAGTCTACAGAGCGAGTTCCAGGACAACCTCCAAAACAATACAGAGAAACCCTAGAGCGAGTTCCAGTACAACCTCCAAAACAATACAGAGAAACCCTGTCTTGAAAACCAAAAATAAAATAATAATAAATAAATAAATTTTGACACACACCTGTAATCCCAGCATTTGGGAAGTAGAGGCAGGAGGATCAAGAATTTAAGATTGGGTCTGGAGAGTTCACTAAGTGGTTAGGAACACTGGCTATTTTTCTTAAGGACCTGTGTTCAGTTCTCAGCATCCACATGACAGAACAAGCATCTGTAATTCCAGTTCTAGGGGATCCAACTCTGTCTTCTGATCATTGTGGGCACATACAAATGTACAAACAAGCTAACTATCTGCATAAATAATTTTTTTAAACTTCAAAAGAAGTTAAGGTCATTCTTGGCTTTCTGCCAAGTTTGAAGTTGGTTTAGGCTGAGACCCTCTTGGAAAGGGAGGAGGAAAGAAGACAAACAACGAACACTGTGTTTGAGGGGGCTGACTTACCCTGTCTATAGGGTTGATGTCAGTCTCTGTCTTCCTGTGTATTCATGCAGCTAACAAGGAGCTTTTGAGGGCCTGTGTACTGAATGTCACCTTTGATGCATGTTGCCCTTAAGATACCGAATTTAAAGGGAATTATTCCTAAGTCCTGAAAGAAACCAGTGGAATTTTCTCATTTATTTATCAAGGGAATAATCATAGTAATTTATTTTTCCTTAAACACGTAGGTTTCACCTGTATTTCTAATGACGTTTTTCCTAGATAAAAAGGTTTTAACCATACATTTGCTAACCCTTCATTTTATCAATAAGGCATGGAAAAAGGAATGTCGGCCAGTCTCCCCTGGGACAGAGCAAAGAGGAATGTCTGGAACAGAGCTGACTCCTGACCCCTTGTCCTGTGACTCGTTACTAAATGAGGACTTTTATCTACTCACAATCCATTTTCACCAGGGAAAGTTCTGTGTGTCCCCAGTTTATAGATATATAGAGCCAAACATCACTGATAAATGATAAAAGGATTTAAAGTAATTCTTTATATACATGTGGTGCTACTATTTTATTAAAAGGGAATTTTTCATGCTAATGAGATACCCATTCTTGTTTATTTTTACATAGATCTTTTTTGTTGTTGTTGTTAATTTTTGTTTTGCTTTGTTTTATTGAGACATGGTCTCACTCTATAGTCCTATGTGGCCTAAAACTTGACATATAGAATCAGGCTGGCCTTGAACTTCTAGAGAGCTGCTCCTGAGTTTTGGTATTAAAGGCCTATGTCATACCTGATGAGAATTATATGTTGACTGAATTTTTTTGATACTGTAAGACATAGAATACTAACATTTTTTCAAGTTGATTGATATTTTTACTCTTTTTTTTATTTTTATTGTTTTGTTTTTTCAAGGCAAGGTTTCTCTGTATTGCTTTGGAGGCTGTCCTGGAACTCGCTCTGTAGACCAGGCTGGTCTGGAACTCACAGAGATCTGCCTGCCTCTGCCTCCCAAGGGCTGGGATTAAAGGCGTGCACCATCACCACCCAGCCTATTATTTTTATATAATAATACTTATTACTGAGAATACCACTTGATCTAAATATATATATGGTACCTGGGGCTGGAGAGCTTAGTGGTTAAGAACACTTAACTGCTCCCCTATATAGAACTACAGTTTGGTTCACAGCACACAAGTATCCTTTCACAACGGCCTGTAACTGCATTTCCAGGGATCCAGTGTCCTCCATGAGCTCTTGCATGCACATGATGCACATAAACCCACAAAGGGAAACACACATACACATAAGTAAGTAAATCTGTACAAGATGGCATACGTATTCAACCTCTGGCCTCAACACACGGCACAAACACCAAAAGCAGAGAAAAGAGTGCCATGACGGTGACTTGTTGAAAAGCCTGACAGCTTGAGTTTGGTACATGGGACCCATATAGTGGAATAAGACAACCTATTTCTGCATGCTGTTCTCTGACTTCCAAATGCACATTGTAGCATGTATGTACACAAACATTAAATAAGTGACCACTAAAAAATTTTTAAAGATAAAAAAGAATTTAAAGGGAAGTAACTGGTGCATACAGCAACTTGGGGGTTGGGTGTTGTTTTTGTTTTATTTTATTATTACTTTTGTACGCTGGTGTTAGACCTGCAGGTATGTCTGTATGAGGGAGCCAGATCCCCTAGAGTGCAGTTACAGACAGTTGTGAGCTACCATGTGCACACTGGGAATCGGACCCAGGTCTTCTGGAAGAGCAGCAGTGCTCTTAACCTCTAAGCCATCTCCTCAGCCTTAGTGAAGGGAGTTATTTGAACAGAAAGAACAACTCAGGGGCTGGGAGGATGACTTAGAGATGACTTATTTCAAGCATTTGTTGCTCTTGCCCAGGACTGGAATACAATCCCTAGTCACTTGCATATTGGTTCACAACCATCCATCACTCCAGTTGCGGGGGAATCTGACACCTTCTGGCCTCTGTGGGTCATATACTTACATTCAGGCAGAATATTAATGCACATAAGTAAATCTTTTTTTTTTTTTTTTTTTTTTTAAGGAAATACCCTAGTGGGCAAAGGACAGAATACATTGGGTCAGCAGGATGACTTGGGGTAAAGTTGCTTCCACCAAATCAAACAAGCAGAGTTCAATACCCAGGACTGACATAGTTTGGTCTCCATGTATGCATGTGTGTGTCCTCACAAATAAGTGTAATTTTTAAAATTCAAATCAAAGTCTTCAGCACTGGCCAGTGCTTTCATCCCAGCACTCGGGAGACAGAAGAAGGCAGAGTTCTGTGAATTCAAAGGCCAGCCTGGTCTACAGAGTAAGGTCTAGGACAGCCAGGGCTACACAGAGAAACCCTGTTTTGAAAAAATGAGGGGGAGGGGAGATCAGAAGGGAGGGGAGAGCATAACATTTTATCTGTGTCCATTTCTAATGTTTGTACTCCAGATCTCTTGTGTTAACATTGGGGCCTCTGGGTGGCTAACTTAGGAGACCAGTTAATCATCTACCATGGTCCTCATTGTTTGTGCTCTACTAGAACATGGCTGTGACAACTTCATCCCTAGCTGGTACTTCCTAAAGGAACGTGCTTTCCTCTGCTTTATTGCCTTCCTCATATACTCATCTTCCGTATCTATAATATTTGAAGATGGTAATTTCTGTCCCACCCAGTCCTTCAGGCATTCAGTCCCCAAATAAACACATAGAGGCTTATTTATAAACTGTTTAACTTGTTGCTCAAGCTTCTTATTGGCTAGCTCTCTCTTAATTATTACTTTCTATTAATTTGTATCTCCATGTGGTCTTATCTTCCCAGAGAATGCCTGGGAATCCTACCTCCCTGGTGGCTGGCTACGTGGTATCTCCTTGATTCCACCTGCTAACTTTCTCTTTCCCTGTTTGGATTTCCCACCTGGCTAAATCCTGTCTGTCCATTATCCAAAACAGCTTTATGCATCAGATGCATCAGCCAATAAGAGAGACATATATTCACACCATACAGAAGGACATCCCCATTAAATATTGGTGTTTTTTTAAGACATGATCAATTTTCAAAAAAAATGGAACATGAAATCCATGCTGTCTTATTCTGACAAAATGACAGTATCTCATACTAAAAAGGATATAATTTGCTTGATTGTACCAGAATAGTTTGTTCTGCAAACCTATGTGAGTAGTTAATTTGATTAGTGATCTTCTAGACAACGACACTGTGTTAGTTCTGAAAGGCAACTCAATTTGTTAATCTTTCACAATCTTTTTATAAAGTAGAATTTTTGTTTAATAATAAGATGGAAAACATTTTAGAAAATTTTACTAGTTTTTAGTTACAGGTGAATAGAAATTTAAATTGTTTTACAAAATGTTAATTTTCACAGAATAAGAATGAAACTTCATTCTGTCTTTTAAAGAGTGAACTCTTTATTGTAGCTGGACCAGCTATCCCTTCAGTTGTGGCATATCCAAAGCGGAGTCAGACGAGCACTGCAGATAGTGACCTCAAAGAAGATGGGATTTCCTCCCGCAAGCAGAGCGGCACTGCTGTAGGGGGAAAGGGGATCGCCCCCGCCAGTCCCATGCTTGGGAATGCAAGCAACCCCAATAAAGCGGATATTCCCGAACGCAAGAAAAGCCCTGCTGTCCCCAGTGTAAGTACCACTGTATAGAATAGCATTAGTCAGTGTTTGGGCCTGGGGCCCGCTAGTCTTCTGCATCCCTCCATTTTACCCTATCCTCTGCCTGCAGTGTCTTTCCTCTGTGCTGCTATATACCACTTCCTGCATTGTAGATGGTCCTCTTGATAATTCCTGGGTTTTTGTTTTGTTTTTTAATTCATTCCTGCTGCTATAACAGAACATCTGAGATGTAATTATAAAGAACAGAAATATATATTGAATTCCAGCAGACTCGCCGTCTAGTGAGGGATAGTATCCTTGCTGCTTTCAAGGTAGCATTCTGTTGCCACATGCTGCCGAGGTGAGGACACGGTATCACCATCAGATAAAAGGGATGGATTTGTCCTTCTCCCTTTGTAAAGCACTAGTGACCTGGAAGCCCCGCTTCTTAACACTGTTGCACTGGAGCTCATTTATCCAGAGCTCTGCGGGGGCTCAGTCAGCCACAGCACGTTCTCCATGCTAGGTAAGTACTCAGGTCCTGTGTGTCAGCAACAATAAGAAGTTACCCCAGAGACATCTACTCTCTAGACAGTGGCAGTGCGGAAGGTAACTGGGCAGAAGATGATCTGCACAGTGCCAACAGGTCACTGTCCTCTAGGGAAAGTATTTGCACTGAGGTCTTTCTGAGTACCAAAGCCTGCACAGGTAAAGAAAATGAAGCAAAGTTACATATGTGGTATGCTAATTATATGGCTCTGAACCCTTAACCTTAATACAGTCCCTCAATAAGTAGTTCTGTTTGTTAGATTACTGTGAATTCATTTAGTTTCAGGGGCCTTTTTTCCTGAGAATGGAAATGGTAATTATTATTGGCACAGAACAATAAGCAGTCTTGAGGTTAACTACAATCATGATTTCCCCCCCAAAATTGATAGGAGTGTAGCCCTTTTACTGATAGAAAAACCCAGAATAGGACACTTCATTATGTTTTGGGGTCAACTTAAGGAAATCCAAGATGTTCTGTCCATTTCATTCTCTAGTATTGTGTCTAATCAATGTATCTTGGCTTCCAAATGCCTCATAAAGTGTCGTTGTAGCATTGTACTTTAATTTCAGTCTCCTACTTTTTGGGGGTGGTTGGAGACAGGGTTTCTCTGTGTAGTCCTGGCTGTGCTGGAACTTGCTCTGTAGTCCAGACTAGCCTTGAACTCAGAGATCCCCGTCTCTGCCTCCTGAGAGTTGGCATTAAAGGTGTGCACTGTCACCACCTGGCTCAGTCTCCTGCATTTTAAATTCAGTTTCACTTGACAATAGAAGATATGTGCTTTCTTCCTCGTTTTTGTGACATTTTACCCTATTTCTCTTATCTACATGTTGAAAGTATATTCTCGGTATTATCAACTGTCAGCATTTACCTATTTATAAAGAATAATAAGTAACACAAGTGTTGATGGAAGTTTCCGCCCTGCCTGCCTGGTCCCACAACCAAGTCAGCCCCCAATAAACACACAGAAACTGTATTAATTATAAAATATGTTGGCCGGTGGCTAGGGCTTCTTACTGGCTAACCCGTTTCTATTAATCTATGTATTTCTACACGGCCTTATCTTACCGGAGACCATCTGAAGTGTCCTACCCTCCTGGGCTGCACATGGCAGCTGTTCTTTTTTTTTTTTTTTTTTTTTTTTTTTTTTTGGTTTTACGAGACAGGGTTTCTCCGTATTGTTTTGGAGGCTGTCGGTCCAGCCCAGCCTCGAACTCACAGACATCCTCCTGCCTCTACCTCCCGAGTGCTGGGATTAAAGGCATGCGCCACCACCGCCTGGCATGGCAGCTGGCCTGGCAGGCCCTCTCTGCCTATCTTTCCAAGAATTCTCTTGATCTTAGTCCCACATATCTTCTTCCTCATTGGCCAGACAGTGTTTTATTCATCAACCAATAAGAGAAACAGATACAGAAAGACTTCCCCCATCACAGCAATATTACATAGAATTATTGTTATAACAGAATTCTGAGACAATTAACCTAAAAAGAGAAAAGACATATCTTAGTTCAGGGCTAGTTCCAGTTCAAGGTGGGTTAGGCTTACGACTCATACATAGACATGGACATGCGATAGAACGAGGTAGGAAGCAAATGACTAGATGGACAAGAGTCTCAACATACTCTTCATGGACATGCCCTGGTGATTTCAGTACCTGTCACAATGTCCTGCCTCCTAGATATCCTGTAACCTCCCAGTAGCCCCACCCCAGGGATCAAGCCTTTACTATATGGACTTTTGAGGTACATTCATCCAAAGTGTAGTAGCTAGGTATCATCAAAATTTTTCTCCCAGTCATCTTGGAATTTCGTTGAACATGATCCACTCGTGATATATTAAAGCTTTATCTTCACTTAAAAATTCTGATTGGGAGCTAGAGAGATGTCTCAGGTTAAAAGCACTAGCTACTCTTCCAGAAGAGGTCCTAAGTTCAATTCCCAGCAACCACATGGTGGCTCACAACCATCTTTAATGAGATCTGGTGCCCTCCTCTGGTCTGCAGGCTTATATGCAGGCACAACACTGCATAGATAGATAGATAGATAGATAGATAGATAGATAGATAGATAGATAGATAGATAGATAGAGAGATGGCTCCAAGGTTATGAGCATTGGCTACTCTTCCAGAGTTCTTGAGCATGCAAATATATAATGCAGACACATATCCAGGCAGAATATTGTATACGTAATTAAAAAAAACGCACACACAAAAAAAGGACGTTGGTAGCACATGCCTTTAACCCCAGCACTCAGGAGGCAGAGGCAGGCAGATCTCTGTGAGTTCAAAGCCAGCCCGGTCAACAGAGTGAGTTCAAGGACAGTCCAAAGCAATACAGAGAAACCCTGTCTCAAAAAAACAACTCTAAGCCGGGCGTTGGTGGCACACGCCTTTAATCCCAGCACTCGGGAGGCAGAGGCAGGAGGATCTCTGTGAGTTCGAGACCAGCCTGGTCTACAAGAGCTAGTTCCAGGACAGCCTCCAAAGCCACAGAGAAACCCTGTCCCAAAAAACCAAAAATAAAAAAAAAAGACTATTCTATGATTGGCCAGATGGTGGTGGAACCACACTTTCTGAACGCTCAGGCAAGCTTTAACTAATCATAATATGTCATCAAATTTCCCCCTTGTCTAATACAAAAAGAAGGCTACAATAAGTATATAGTCCATTTGCATTTGACAAATTCAGAGAAAATATTCCATATCTATTCTATCTTGGTGAGTCCAAAGTCTTCTACCTAATTTACTTTCTATTCTAATTTGCATTATTAAATTTTGGTTTTTCGAGACAGGGTTTCTCTGTGGCTTTGGAGGCTGTCCTGGAATTCACTCTGTAGACCAGGCTGGTCTCGAACTCACAGAGATCTGCCTGCCTCTGCCTCCTGAGTGCTGGGATTAAAGGTGTGCCGTACCAACACCCGGCCCCAAATTATCTTTTAATGTCTCAACCTTTTACACTTTACACTTCTCTAGTGAGTTTTTTTTTTTTTTTTCCCCGATTCTGGTAAACAGTGAAATCTATAACTATACTATATAGTCTTCAACTCCTTCGAGACATGGAAAGGAAATACTATTAACTGAGTAAACAGAAAGTGCAAGAAGGTAAGAAATGTGAGAAATGACAGGAGCAGCTGGCTGCCTGGATAGTCACCCAAGGGTCCTCTGCAGCATTGGGGCATCCATCTTCTGAGAGACTTTTCTGTGAAGCAGGATTTTGAAGGACTGTCCCGCCTCGTCTTAGCTAAATTTGCAGTCATTCTCTTTTATGTTCTGTTTGTCCAGTTTGAATAGCGTACTGTTAGCAGTTGAGGCAAGGAGGGCACTTCTTGGTTAGTGGCTTACTTATACCACAAAGAAGGTAAACTCCATGTGGAGTTCCTTCGATGCCCATCATCTTCTCTGAAGTAGATTGATGCTGCCAGGAACAGAAATGTCTCGTTGTCATTTAAAAAAACAACAGAAAAACCACAACTATGCTATTAAAACATTTTAAATGCCACATTCTATAGATCTCTGAAGTGTTTGAAGAGGACTGGTTTTTAAAAATATATCTCGTTTGTCCTTGATAACATACCTAATGTGACTACAAGTTCTATTGTAGCAGGTGACTAAATACTGACCTACATCTCCTTATTATCTTATATAGTTGGTAATAATAACTTTCTAGGATTAGAAATTTGTACTACTTTGTTAAATGAGTTCTACAGATACAATACCTTGAGCAAGATTAGAAATATATGTACAGTTTAACAAAGTTGATCTCAAATTTCTATCAATCTGCAGTATTTGTATACAATATATAAAAATCCAATCCAATGTAAAGTATTTAAAACAAGTAATTTCTTTTTAAAAATAGATTTAATAATCTAACTTTTTATATTATGATATCTATATCCTCTCTTTTTTTTAGAATAGATTGAACAATCTACCCTTTTATCCTATCATATTGTATTCCCTTTTTTTTCTTTCAAAACAAGAACCTTGAATCTAATCTCCCTTTTTTAGCTTTTTTTTGTCACAACTTGTAACTAATTTCCCTAAACAATGAAAAAATATCCATAACCCTTTGATTTAGCAAAAACCACCCACCTCACCTCTTGGGAATGTGGGCACTCTATTCTTAAAGTTACTTTCTGCTGTCTGGGGGCAATAGCATGTTAAGGGGTTCCGAAAAGAAAAGGTTGAGTTAATTGTCATACTATCCTTTTTGTCACGTCTCTGTATAATGGGAAAGTACAGGGCTTGTCTGAAGTCCTTGCTAGAGTAGTCTATGAGGCTGGATCATCTCAGTTGACCTCCTTGAAATTGTTCTGAGCAGTTTGTATTCCAAAGCTGATCTTTAGTTGGTGTTGTTCATCTTAATGATTTTGTCATAGTCCTGGTGAAATTGTTGTGGGGCCCCATCCTCCTTTTGTCTGTCTGTTTCTTCTGTGTCTGCGTGTCAGAGGCATCTGGACTTCTGTAGGTTTAAGGACAACCTAATTACATAGAGAGTTCCAGGGCAACCAGAGATAAAATGATGAGATCCTGCCTCCAAAAAACAGTACACAAAAAAATAAGTAAAGATAGTACATAATAAAAATCTTTTATTGTAACTTTTATTCCTTCGTTTGGGGGTTTTAAGTGTGTAGCTGGTGTGTATAACCATCATACATCTTTAAGAACCTGCCCCCCCCCTTGGGGGGTTTCACTAGATTTGGTTGGTTGGGTAGCTTGAAACATGGTGTTGTGTCTGTGGCTTAGGCTGACTTCAGCCTCCTAAGTGCGGCAATTACAGGTATGAGCCACTGACCAACTGAATTGGAGAACTTTTCAGCACCACAGAATACTCTGTAACTGTGATAACTTGTCATTTTCTGGCTCCTTAGCTGCCTTTTTTGATGACTCCACATAAATGGAGCTAAATATAATACATACACTCCTTTGTGTTTGGTTTCTTGAATTCAGGGTAATATTTTGAGAGTTCAAGTTGTAGCATGTATGAACACTTCATTCCTTTTTAAAACCTGAGGGTTATTTCATGGGACATACAAACTAATTTATTTGATCATCTGTTGATAGACATTTATATTATTTCTACCTTTTAAACATAAAAAATAACATTGTAAACATTTGTATAAAATGTCTTGAGTGGCCTGGAGGTGGTGGCACATGCCTTTAATCTCAGCACTCATGAGGCAGAGGCAAACATATCTCTGTGGAATCGAGGCCAGTGTGGTCTACAAAGCGATTTCCAGGATAGCCAGAGCTGTTACACAAATCTGTGTAGACTTGGGTTTTCTATCCTGTATGTGCTACGTGTGTGTGCATGTATATGTACTTGTCGTTACAGACTGGTAAGAAAGACAAAGGTTGACAGTGGAAATGGTTTTACCAGTTGCTCTCTACCTTTTGAGTGTGGCCTGCCACACTCTTTGTGACTACAGCTTCAGCCATAGGTTTTCCCACCTTAGTCTTTGGGAGACTCTGAATCTGAAGCTCCCTGGTTAAGTCAAATTGGCTACCCAGTAATTTTCCTGTCTGTCTCCCAGCCCTAGGCTACAGTGCATATTGCTGCACCTGGCTGTTGCTTTGATTATTTTGTTTTTTGAGTCAGGGTTTCTCTGTGTAGCCCTCGCTGGCTTCTTTTTTTTTTTAAATGTGGGTTCTTAACTCACTTTATCCTCTTTTAAATTGTGTGCATTACTGGAAGGTAGGGCCTGTGCCATAGGCACATGTGGAAGTCATGGGACAGGTTTCTCTGTGTCATCCTGGAACTCGCTATGTAAACCAGGCTGGCCTTGAACTCACAGAAACCTTCCTTCTTGCCTCTTCCTTCCAACTGCTGTAACTAAAGGTGTGTGCCACCACTGCCTGACTGGGTTATGTCATTTTACCAACTTCCAGGTTGTCATAGGGGATTTAGGGCAGGAACCCAATCAGAAGCTGTTTGACTGCCTTGCTCATTCTGCTTTTGTATACAACACAGGACCACCTTCCCAGGGTTGGACCACCTACCATGAGGCAAGTCTTCCCATATCTATCAGGAAAATGACCTCACAGATTGCCTACAGTACTCTTTCTCTGATGGAGGTGGTTCCTCAGTTGGGAAGTTCTTCTATGCAGATTACTCTAGCTTGTATCAGAATTACAAAACAACCCATACTGTGTGTTTCTGGGATTGGATTCCAGTCCCCAGACTAATGGCAGCTAGCAACTACCCACAGAGCCATTATACCCACTCATTTTGTTGTTTGTTTATTTAATTACATTGTATCTATTTGTGGGTGGAAGATACCCCTTAGTATGCATGGAGATCAGAGGACAACTTTGTATTAAGTTGTTTCTCTTTCTAACATGTGGTTCCTAGAAATGGAACTAAAATGGGATCTCACTGTGTAGCCCAGGGTGGCCTTGAGTTTACAATAATTCCCCTGCCTCAACCTAAGAGTTTTGGAATCTGCTGGGCAGTAGTCGTGCATGCCTTTAATCCCAGCAGGCAGATCTCTTGAGTTCAAGGCCAGCCTGGTCTGCAAATGGAGTTCTAGCCAGAGCTGTTATACAGAGAAGCCCTGTCTCAAAAAAAAACAAAAAAAAAAAACCCAAAACTTTTTATTACGTTTTGTTTTGTTTGTATGCATACACTCAGTGCATATATGCTCAAGGGAGTTGCTTCTTGTCTTCTTCTGTGTGTGCTCTAGGAGTCAAACTCAAGTTGTCAGTCTTGGGAGCAAACACACCACCAACTGAGCCATCTTACTGGCCGTTGAGTTGCCCATTTTTAAGTTTTCATTCTGGGATTATGTTGTAAGAGTTGTTTGTGTATTCTGAATACTAGACACTGATCAGACATCATAAGATTTGCAAGGATGTCCTGCCTTGCATGTGTTCTCTCTGTTCTCTCTTCACTTCACAATGTCCTTGTGAGTGTTTTTGTCTGCCTGTCTGTATGCCACACACATTTGTGGTGCCTGAAGAGCATCAGATCCCTGGAACTGGAGTTACAGACAGTTTTGAGCCACCATGTAGATGCTGGAAATTGAACCCAGGTCCTCTGGAGAAGCAGCCAGTGGGTGCTCTTAAGCACTGAGCTATCTCTCCGTGCTTGTTCATACTTGTACTATCTTTATCTGCTAATATGTTGTCAAATTCCCAACATCATGGAGGATGTTCTAATTTTATTTGCATGTATATTAGTATATATTTTTACATATATTTTAGCCTTATCCTTAAAATACTATATTAAATTTTTTCTTTTGTCTAAAGACAATTAATGTGTAACCAATTACTGTGTAACCCAGACTGGCCTGAAACTCAAGATGTCCCTGCCTCAGCCTCCCAAATGTTGGAATTACTAGATTTATTTAAAGACTTTAAAAAGGAACTGGAACAATGGCTCAGTAGTTAAGAGTGTTTTCTTTCAGACGACTAGAGTTCAGAGAGAGAGAGAATGTACAATAACATACTTTGTTTTATTTAGCTGTTTGTTTATGAATGACTGTGTTGGTCTGGGGAGACGATTTAATGGGTAAAATGCTTGCCACTTAAGTGTGAGTACCAGGACTCAGAACCCTAGCACCCACATAAAAGTCAGAAGGGTATGGCCACCTGCCTATGATTTCAGTACTCTAAAGGCAGAGACAGAGTGTCCCTTGGACAAGCTGGCTAAGTAGTCTAACCGCAGTGCAAGAGCTCTGAGTTCAGCTGGGCACACTCTCAGTCAGCAGAGAGTGACCTAGAGGTTGCAGACATTAACCTCCAGCCTCTGGCACGTGCACACCCTCAAACACATAGACAACATCCCTCTTCAAATTCTTTTGCTTGCATATACAAATTGTTAGTTTTTTTTATTAAATTCCTTATTAAATTGTAATTACCAAGTGGGCTAAGATAAATATGCCCTTTTCTTGCAGAGTAATGCAGCATCTGGTGGAATGACACGACGAAACACTTATGTTTGCAGTGAGAGGTCTGCAGCGGATAGACACTCAGTGATTCAGAATGGCAAAGAAAACAGGTATGAGATTTTACCTACTGGCAAAAAAAGTGGTAGTATGTTACTTCTCACTTTTATAATCAAAATACAAATGGTTACTGTTTATTCTTTAAAGGTAAGTAACGTTAAATGCTAATTTCTAGCAAGATACTAGGATTCCAGATTCTTCTCTTTGTCCAGAGCATCCACTCCTATGGGTTGGCTATGTGTGACAAGGAAAGGTTGGGGTTGAACCACTGTGATTGCTTCAGAAGATTTTGGCCTGCTAAGGTGTTTTTAAAATGGTGAGTAGGGAAATGGAGATTTTGTTTATGTTCCTGTTTTGGACAAGATCTGAGTATGGTTTGGGTATAGTGCTTTAATATTATAAAAATAATAATAACTTCAGCTGGGTGGTGGTGATGCATCTCTTTAATTCCCAGCACCAGCAGTAGCATAGTCTCCCCCTCAGAGAATATACTTGAGACTCTAGGGACACAGAGAGTTGTCTTCTGCATGCCGTGAAATAGTATAATATTAATACTAAACATTGAAATATTAATACTAAATGTTAAATAATCTACTCATGTGTCTGTAAGTATAAGATCATATCATGCAAACAGCTTTCCAGAGTTATGAAATAAGAAAAAGAAAATGAGCTCTGGAGAGATGCCTCTAGTGACAAGCACTGACTACTCTTCCAGAGGACGTTTGATTCGCAGCACCCACATGCAACTCAGCAGTCATCTGTAACTCCAGTCCTAGTGATCTGATTATCTCTTCTGGCTTCCACAGGCATCAGGCATGCATGTGGTTACACAGACATACAGGCAGGCAAAAAAAACATACATATATAAGAGTATAACCTCTGATTGTCTTCTGCAAAGGTAGGACATCTCCTACATGTGAGTGCCTGTATAATCAAAAACAAAAAACAAAAGAAGAAGAAGCTGGGCTGTGGTTGCACATGCCATTAATCCCAGCACTGGGGAGGCAGAGAGAGAATGACCTCTGAGTTCCATACCAACCTGGTCTACACAGTGAGCAAGTTCCAGAGGGCTACATACACAGTATCCCTGTCTCAGAAAAGAAAATGGGATTAGGTGGATCCAGAAACCATGAAGTACTATTGATTTTAAGGGGATGGAAAAAGAAATCTAGTTGGTGGGATTTGGTTAAATGCTTAATCTATATAGAATAAACCAAACTCTGAATGAGGAAAGTCAGAGTAAGTCTCAGAGGACTGCGCGTTATAGAGGTTTTTTGGAATGTGCATGTGTGAAACCCTGAGGATGGATCAACAGTGGAAAGTGAGGAGTGCTGAGTTGGGGTGGTAGTCATCATCGTTCTCTTTTACTGAAGACTTGAATTCCCGATTGTCCTGCCTCCACCCTCAAGTACTAGGATTACAGGTGTGTACTGCCACACGTGTCTTATGACACTGATTTGTTTTATTGCATTGGTTTTCGTCTGTTTGATCCCATTATTTAGACAACATGTGTGACTGCTGACCTCTGTGACTGCCTGAGAAAGACCCACCTGCATATTTGTTAGTTAGTTAGTTCTCTTATTGCTAGGGCAAAATCCCTCAACAAAACGTGGAGGGAAGCCAGGTGTTGGTGGCGCACGCCTTTAATCCCAGCACTCGGGAGGCAGAGGCAGGCGGATCACTGCAAGTTCGAGACCAGCCTGGTCTACCGAGCGAGTTCCAGGACAGCCTCCAAAGCCACAGGGAAACCCTGTCTCGAAAAAAACAAAACAAAAAAAAAAACACGTGGCGGGAAGGGCTTATTTGGGCTCTCAGTTCCGGAGTGTAGTTCATCATGTTGGAAGCCATAGCTGCGGTAGCTTGAGGCAGCTGCTCTCATCACACCGAGAGTCAGGATACACTCAACTTGCCTTCTGTTTCTGCAGTCCAGGACCCAGCCAAGACATGGTGTCTCCACACTTACAGTGGCTCTTCCCCCATGAACCGAAGTAGATAATCCCTCACAGGTTTGCCTGCAGGCTGGCTCTTAAGTAAATCTAGATCGTATCAAGTTAGCTGCCACGAACCTATTGTCAAACCTTTCAATGTGTTACTAGGACTTTTGGTCAGCTATCCTTATCTTGAAAGACTATATTCATTAGTGAATTTCTTTATAGTTTTTGTTTTATGTGCATTTGTGTTTTTCTTGCATGTATTATGTCTGTGTGATGGTGTCAGAGTCCCTGGAACTGGAGTTACAGACAGTTGTGAGCTGCTATGTGGGTGCTGGGAATTGAACCCTGATCCTCTGGAAAAGCAATCTTTCCAGCCCTATATCAATGTTTTTTTTTGTTTGTTTGTTTTGGTTTTTGGTTTTTGGTTTTTCGAGACAGGGTTTCTCTGTGGCTTTGGAGGCTGTCCTGGAACTCGCTTGGTAGTCCAGGTTTGTCTCGAACTCACAGAGATCCGCCTGCCTCTGCCTCCCGAGTGCTGGGATTAAAGGCCTGTGCCACCAACGCCCGGCTATGAATTTTTAAAAATATTCCTGATCCTTTGTGGGGCTTTCTGTTTTTCTGTATAGGTGGTTGTTTTGCTTGTGTTTGTATTTTTGTTGTTGGTTCTGTTTTGAAATAGGTCTCAGAACGTGGAACTCGTTATCTAAGTAGCTGACCTTGAATTTGGAATAATCCCTTTGCTCCTAGAGTACTGAGATAAAGTACCCTGATGAAAGCAGCTTTAAGGGAGACAGGGTTATTGGGTTCACAATGCCAGGCTACAGTCCACCCATGGCTGTGGGGCCATCAAGGTAAAAATAGAGAGAAATGAATCCATGTACTCAACTCATTCTCTCCACTCATACAATTTAGGACTCAAACCTAGGGCCTTCACACCCAGTGGGCTGAATCTCCCACATCAACTAATATAATCAAGACAGCTTTTCACAAGCATTCCCGTAGGCCTGATTTAGACAGTCCCTCATTGCGTCTTCAGTGTGTGCATGTAGAGGTCAGATGATGAAACTCGGGTCATTAGGCCTAGCGGCAAGTGTCCTCATTCATTTGTCCACTTGCCAGCCTTTATTCTTCTTAGTAGTCCGGATTTGGTAGATTTTCTTTTATCACATTTCCAGTCTCAACCCTTTCAAGTATTTTTGAGACCACCTGTGACTTAATAGAAGATAACAGAAGAGCCTAGAATTTCTATAGGACTCAAAAGATGTTGTTTCCTATCCCTTAGCTTCTTAGTTGCTAAAGTACTAAAATTCCTTTTGGGAATTTAAAGTATGGGAGGTGCCATTTTCTGGACTGCATAAACAGGAGAAAGCATGTTGAGCACAAACCCTCAGTCAGACCTTGTAAAAAGTGTTCAGGTATAGAACCCCTCTGCTCTGTATTTATGGCTATCTGCATGTGCATACACTTAGCCTCTCACACTCTTGTTATAATTAACCAGCTCATTTTTCTAAGTCCACTATTCAGTCTTTGGAAATAGTTTGAAGAATTCTTTTATTTAATCCTCACCTCCTAACCCCCACCACACACAGGCTTTCTCGGTACAGCCCTTGTTGTCCTGAAGAAACTCTATAAACCAGGCTGGCCTCGAACTCAGAGATCCTGTGCAACCTGTAACTCCAGCACTGTGGGGTGTAGACAGACAGATCCTTGGGGGTGACTAGCCAGTCAGCCTAGTCAAAATGCAGTAAAAGGTAGATAGAGATAGAAAACCTTTGACAAACGGGTAAACACCACATTTGAGACACCAAAAAGGAGGAGGATGACAAAAGACAAATGCTTTCTTTTCCTTTGTTTGGAACAGACTTTTCTTAGTTCAAATCCATCTGTCTCTGCCTCCTGAGTGCTGGGATTACAGGCATGCACCATCACCATAGCAGGCAAATGTTTGAAGATATCATCTTTCTCTTTAGCCAAACAGTCCCAGAATCATACCCTGCAAGACAGAACCTGTGGGTTTTGTTTGTTTGAGGAGTTTTTAGGGTTGATCTCCCCTCTATCCCAGATTGGCCTTAAATGTTGTATCTGCATTTCCTTTTTCTTTCAGTCTTAAAAATAAAAGGGAAAACTGTAAACCTAGCCATGGCTCCATGGCCCTTTAATTCCAGTTACAAGGAGTTTTAGGAAAAAGTGCTTAATGGTGCAAACCTATCTCCAACTACTGAGTGGGACTGTCATAGACAGGGCTAGGATGTGACTCTGTAGTGGAGCACTTGCGTACCATGAGTAAGCCCTTAGATTGTGTGAGGAGATTTTTCTCTCCCTTGGAATCATTGCTGAATCTTGCTTTGCTTTGCTTTGGTTTGGTTTGGTTTAGTTTTCAAAACCGGGTTTCTGTTTGTAACAGCTCTGGCTGTCCTAGAGCATGCTCTGTAGACCGGGTGTTAATCCCACTGATTAAGAATAAGACTACTACCACAGTTTAAAGCCAAATTTGAAGCAAATGTCAATTAAATACTAGCCAGGTCCGTGCCCAGGCTCCCCAGAAAATGGCCCAGAATCAAGTACGGCAGGGGCTTAAGGAAAAAACCCGTAATCCATTGCATTTCCCATCAGGTCCAGTCTGCCTACGTACTTCCTGACCACATGTGATCACACACGTCCCATCCAGTGCAGATGGGCCAAGCAAACTTGTTTAAGGTAGTAAAAACAAGTAACTTGTTCTCTACCGCAAACAATAGCCTCCAGCATTTCAGGAACTGTCTTTAGAGAAGGGCTTGCAGATTTGAGGCATTTTGTTTCATAGGTCTCTATCCTGGATCATGATTGCCTCCTCTCTCTTGCCCTCTTTTTACTCATTTGAAATACACAGGAACTACTGGATGTCTGTGCCCATTGACTTGTGAAACTAGTGTATTCCATTGTTAGTCTTAACTATGCTGGATTGTCTCCCATATGTAGTTATATAGAATTCCAACACGAATGATCTCTGGTAATACCAAGCATGATGCCAGTTGATGGTGGTGGCACACACTTTTAATCCCAGCACTCAGGAGGTAGAGGTCTTCCAGGCCTACACAGAGTAAACCTGTCCCTCTACCCCCAAAACAGAAAGAAACTAAGAAAAAAGAAATCCACTATATTAGACTTCTAAAATGAGGCTGAGGTGGTGGCATACACATGTAATCATAGCACTTACAAGTAGCAGGAGGAGGGTGTTTTTTTATGGGAGGTGGGAGACATGGGTTTTGTTTTTTTGTTTTTTTTTTTTAAGATTTATTAATTTGTTATGTGTGCAGTGTTCTGCCTGCAGGGATACATGCCTGCAGGCCAGAAGAAGGCACCAGGTCTCATTTTAGATGGGTGTGAGCCATCGTACGGTCGCTGGGAATTGAACTCAGGTCCTCTGGAAGAGCAGCCAGTGCTGTTAACCTCTGAGCCATCTCTCCAACCCCCATTTATTGCTATTGCTATTGCTCTTGTAAAGGACCAGAATTAACTAAAACTGCAGATCTAGTACCCTCTTCTAGAGTTTACAGGCATATTCTCTCTCTCTCTCTCTCTCTCTCTCTCTCTCTCTCTCTCTCTCTCTCTCTCTCTCTCTCTCTCTCTCTCTCTCTCCTCTCCCTCTCCCTCCCTCCCTCTCTCTTCCTCCCTCTCTCCCTCTCCCTCCCTCCCTCTCCCTCTCTTCCACTTTCTCTCCCTCTTCACTCTCTCTCTCTCTCTCACACGCACACACAATTTTAATATAGTAGTTTTAACCTCATGGTTCATAATTAAAATATGGGTTATACTTTAGCTTGGTCTTGTGCTCTCTTATGCTCATGTACCTTCAGGTCTTGCCAATCTCTTGCTCTACACCTAAGCCCTTCTCCCAATCTCTAAGACACATGTGTACTCCATAGAAACCAAACACTCCTGCTTTCTCTCTTCTTGCTGTGCTCCATGCACATGGTGACCCTAGTGCCCAGCTGGGCAGAGCAATCACATGTGTTGACCAGAGAAGAGTGAGAGAGACGGGCCAGTGAGACAGACTTCTTAGCAGGTGGAAGACATTTGTCATTCGCCATACCAACCTGGTAACTGGAGTTTGATCCCCATAACCCATGTAAAGGTGAAAAGAGAAAGCAGGTGCCAGGGTGCTACTCTGTGGGTGAGATGTGTGAAGTCATGTGCAAGGTAGCAATGAAGGCTTTAAATCACTGTGACACTCTTTCATAAATAGTCCATATGCTGAGTTTCCCCATCTTGATGAGAAGGTTCTCAACTGTGTTGTTCAAATGACGTAGGATACTCTGATGTGTGATAGATAATAAGTTTCTGTGTCCATGATTTCAGTCATTCATTTAAAAGGGAGCAGGTGAAAGGTGCTGTGTGCTTCTGCCGGGTTCGTTTTACCACCTAAATTAATATAGCGAGGACATCTTTAGGATGCATTTTAATTTTAGGCAGAGCTTAAAGGGCACATATAGAAGTACTCAAACATGTAAACTGTTATTTTCTTTAAGATAATGAACTTCTTCAACTGCTATTTGCAAAAGTAGCTACAGGCCAGCAATTGGCCCAAAGTCCCGATACAAGTTAAAGAGATTCTCAGTCTCTGAGGTTTGCAGGGCTGGGGAGAAGCTGTGTGCATTAGACAGACAGCAGGCTGCTCTTTGTCACTGTTCCGTCACACTGTTGTTTCTGCCTCTGCCTGAACCCAAACCCTCTCCCAGCCTGACAGAAGTGTTCGCTTATGCAGCTAGCCCTGCCTCACTCTGTGCCACATCTACCTGTCGGCTGAGACATCAGAAGTCGATGTCCATGTCAGCCTCTGGGCACCCCAAGATGATGTTACCTCCAATAGACAGTGAAGGAGATAACTTCAAGGCTATGTAAGAAACATGCACATTCCTTGTGAAGCTAATGTGTACCACTGCTGCTTAAGTGTGTACTGTGGATCTTGTGGTTCAAGATTTTGTTATAGTCATCCACAAGATGCTCTTTCTCCATATAGTTTCAGTTGAGCACATCCTGTTTCATTTTGTCTGTGTTGTTCGTATGTGTATGTATGCCTGTCTTCATGCTTGGCACACTACAGAATATAAGAAATCCCCACCCTAGCTTCCTTTCAGCATGTGGGGTTTTATGTTTATGCCATTTGTGTGCTTCTGGAAATTTTTTGGTTTCCTTTTCACATGCAAGCCTTTCTTTCCTTTTGGCACAGTTTTCTGTGTGTAAGCAGCTTGAAAGGGAAGTAGAGGGGGAAAGCTTGAGTTAGCCTTTCTTCATCCTACATTAATCTTGTCCTTGAAATGTACGTACATGGTATCCCTAAATTCTTTCAGCTTTGTCTTTTGTCCTGTTCCTTCAGTATCCTTTCCCACTGAACTTACCTTTTGCTCCTAACCCTGTTTTAAAGGATCCTTTGGGTCTGGGTTCACAGTGGCTAATCTACTTCACTATGTGTAAAAGGTGTATTGTGCTCATAAATGTTCATTGGTTACAATTTTGGGAACAAAGACGTCTCTTTTTCTGCTTTCCTAGCACTATTCCAGACCAGAGAACTCCAGTTGCTTCCACCCACAGTATTAGCAGTGCGACCACCCCAGATCGGATTCGCTTCCCAAGAGGCACAGCCAGCCGCAGCACTTTCCACGGCCAGCCTCGAGAGCGGCGAACCGCAACCTATAATGGCCCACCTGCCTCACCCAGCTTGTCCCACGAAGCCACACCACTGTCCCAGACTCGAAGCCGAGGTTCCACTAATCTTTTTAGTAAATTAACTTCAAAACTCACAAGGAGGTAGGTGTCATGGGCTGCTGGTATGGTTGGGGCAAATACAAAGAGAAAAAGTAAATGTCTTTCCTAATTCATGAAGCTGCTGCCTAGATCCTTTTCATTCTCCCCCAGCTCATTTGTATTCACCGTTAGACTTTAAGATAGAATTATAGAACTCAGCATCTTTTCACAATACCAAAAGTGTCTAGCGCTTGAGTAGAGTTATTCTTTAATTGTTGTTTGTATTATTGTTCACACATCTGTCCACGTGACATATCTATTGCGGTTTAGCAGTCATCAAGAAAAACACTGTGACTGTAATTGTCTCTAAATATGAAACCATCTGTCCCTTCCATGTCTGGCTTGATAGCCAGTACCTTACCCACTGAGTTATCTCACCAGCACCAGCCCCCATGATCGATGCTTAGATAATAATAACTTGAGCATCATAAGAATCCTTCAGTTTATCTGTCTCCTTAGTGCTGTCTGGTTATGTAAGACTGTCATTGATTTAAAATACCAGCATGTGAAGGCTGTCGTGGTAGCTCAGCAAGAGTGCTTCCTAAAAAGCATAAGGACCAGGACCTATATAAAAAGTCACAGACTCGCTGCTCACGCTGTGACCCTGCTGTGGTGGTAGAGACAAGGTGATCGCTGAGACTTTCTGCGCACTACACTTTCTCCAGGGTCAGTTTCTAGCGCCCACATGGCCGCTCTCAGTTAGGTAGAACTCCAGTTCAGGGAGTCAGATTCCACTCTGGTCAGTGCCCTCTTCTGGCCCCCACATGCAGTGCTTGCAGGGATGCACTTACGTGCAGACACGACACCTGCACATATAAAATGTAACAGAGGAAAGAAGGAAGAAGTGAGACATAAAACGATGGAGCAGGATACATGATACTGTCCTTTGTCCTCTGAGCATGCTTCTGCACACACCACATACACATAGATCCACGCCAGGTGGTGGTGGCACTCACCTATAACCCCAGCACTCAGGAGACAGAGGTTGGCACATCTCTGAATTGGAGGCCAGCCTGGTTTACAGTGTGAGTTCTAGGACAGCTAGGTCTGTATACACAGAGAAGCCCTGTCTTCAAAAAACAAGAAAGCATAGATCCATGCAGGGGGAAAAAAGGTCAAAACTGGATTGTTGAGGTGACGCCTGTCACACAAAGCCTAACATCAGACACAAACAGAATGTTTTGAAGGAAACAGCCAGCTAACACTTGAGGACTTAGTTTGTGCTAAGTTATATAGGATATCTGTGCGTATATAGTTTGATTGGTTGGGGTTTTCTGGCTGTTTTGGATTTTGCTTTGTTCTTGTAGATTTGTTTGTCTATGTGTGGCGTGTTTGTTCAGATAAGTGCCTGAGCACCACATGTGTGCCTAGTGCCCTAGAGGACAGAAGAGAGCGCCAGAGTCCTGGGAACTTGAGTTCTAGATGGCTGTGACCCATCATGTAGATTCTGGGAATCAGACCTAGGTCCTCTGTTAGAGCAAGTGCTCTTAACCACTAAACAGTCTCTGGCTCTCATTTTGTTTTTTGAGACAATATCTCTGTGTAGCCCTGACTGTCTTTGAATTTGCTATGCAAACCAGTTGGGCCTCAAACTCACAGAGATATACCTGCATCTGCATCTGCCTCCCAAGTACTAGAGGGGATAAAGGTATTCAAGGTCACATCGACTATATAGTTGTTCTTTTATTAATTTGTATTTTATGTGCATTGGTGTTTTACCTGCATGTATGTGTATGTAAGGGTATTGAGTCCCCTGGAACTGGATTTGCACACAGTTGTCAGCTGCCATGTGGGTGCTGAGAATTGAACCTGGGTCCTTTAGAAGAGCAGATGTTGCTTTTTTTGTTTGTTTGTTTGTTTGTTTGTTTGTTTGTTTTTTTCGAGGCAGGGTTTCTCTGTGGCTCTGGAGGCTGTCCTGGAACTAGCTCTTGTAGACCAGGCTGGTGTCGAACTCACAGAGATCCGCCTGCCTCTGCCTCCCGCGTGCTGGGATTAAAGGTGTGCAACACCACGGCCAGGCCCGAAGCCAGTGCTTTTAACTACTGAGCCGTCTCTCCAGCCCCCTCATATAGTTATTTTCTACATACATATATATTTGTATATTATATGAACATCTGTGTCATACACATTTTATGTGTGGTATCTCTAAGTAATACATACATTTCTACATGTACAGTGAGTATATACCTACATGAATACTCTGTTCCTTATAAGGTCCTCTCTTCACCTTATATTTCATCCCACAGTCTATTCTGTACATGGACAGGTGTTCCCCGTTCTGTAGAAGAATGAAGGTGAGGTTCAGATGGATTGGGCACAATTTTATATCCTACACTAGAAATGTGTCTTAAAGGATAAACAAGTAAAGCTGTCCAACCCTACAGGCAGTATAAGCTCCAGCCCAGACACAGATGTTTCTGTACCCCACACTGGTCCACATGATCCCAAGCATGGTACAAGTCTTCATTCTGCCTTCCAAATCTTCCTTCTACCTCATTTAGGTAGTAAAGAAAAGTTTGAGGGAGGAAAAATTAAGAAAAGTACTTATGTTTTATTTGACAGTAACTTTTGACTTACCGTTTAGAAACTTTGTGAAGGGCTGAAGAAACAACTCAGTGGTTGGGCATTTACTGCTCTTTTAGAAAACCTGTGTTGAGAGCATTGGCTGCTCTTCCAGAGGACACTAGTTCAATTCTCAGCACCACCCGACAGTTCACAGGTAGATAGGTAGCTAGTAGCCAGCTAGCGAGAAAAGAAAGGAAAGTAGGACAGACCTTGTCTACGCATGTGGTTCAGTGAATTCACAAGGCCCAGCACTGGAATGGCAGGGACTAATAATCATTTTGAAATAATATTTCTATATGTACTGTCTAATTAAAAATATTTTACATGCACAGTCTTCTATACAGTATGTATCCTGCTGTGTACCGTTGTTTGCTCAGTTTGTGTAAACAAACGTTTCCAGCCTGTGGTTCTCAGGCTGCATGCACTCTAGGATAGCTGTGATTAGAGCCTAGCACAGTTACAGATGACAGTGCCATACACAAGATCAAGAGGTGGGACTTCCCTAAAAGCAGTACACAAGTAACCCCAAATCAGAGAGGAAGAATCCAGAACTGTTGTTTGGTGAATATGTGTGTCTGCACTATCCATTACAACATTGGGCTTTTCCTGCCTACACTTGCCCAGAGCTTTTTTTGTGTGTGAAAGGTCTTGTCAAACTGTTCAGCACAGCCCACTTGTTTCCTTCAGTTTGTTATTGTTGTTGTGTTTAGTTTTGTTTTGTTGTTTTTGAGACAAGGTTTCATGTAGCCCAGACTGTCTTCAAACTAACTAGGTAGCCAAGGAAGACCTTGAACTTCTGATCATCTTATCTCCAAGACCTCCTGAGTGTTGGGATTAAAGCTATGCCCATCCATGCTTTCATGAAGGACTGGAGATCAATGAGTTCATGCATGCTAGGCTAACACTTTACCAAGCAGAGTTACTAGCCCCACCCCCTCTAATACGTGGTCTAGCTATGTAGCCCTGGCTCTGGAACACTGCCTGGCCTCAGATTTACAGCATTCCTTGCCTCTATGCTATCTAGGACCATGCCATCACATACAGCGCAGTGATGAACCTCTTAATGTCTGAGTGACTTGTAATTAGGTCCTTTGTTTATATGCCAGAAGTCAAGAAAGAGTTCTGCTCCTCAGATAGCCTGTAGGAACCTGAGAAATTATAAGTACATTGCAAAGTACATTTTATTTCTTTAAGACACTGAATTTGCAGGCGTAGTGGCAGGTCTGTAATCCCTGCACTCAGGTGGAAGCAGGTTGCAAGGACAAGACCAGCCTTTGATGTATACAGTAAGACTCTGTATTAATAATATCATAATGATCATGATAGTTTTTTTAAAGACTGAATTTTATCTTAAAGTTTTATAATGAATTTAGTTATGGATAGACATGTTTCAAATTAAAGGACCACATACTCAAAATGTAAGTGTTTATTATAATTTTACTTTTTCAACAAATGTTGCTTTTATTGGATATTGGCCAGAAGAGGGGCCATGGTGTTTGGTTTTTTTGTTTGTTTGTTTTTCTATCCTTTCTAAAATTAATTAGATTTTATGTTTACTTTATATAAGTCTTTTTTGTTAATTTTTTGTTTTTTTTTGGCTTAATTTCTTTTAGAAACATGTCATTCAGGTTTATCAAAAGGTAGGATTTATATATGTACACTTACTTTTCAATCCTCACCCCACCCTCCCCAAATGGCTCCTGCAATTAACATCAGGTTTGGCTTTTTGGTCCTGTTTTTTTTTGTTGTTGTTTTCTTTTCTTTAAAACTAAACTTTCTGCTAAGAACTAAATTCTCATATCCTTGGAAGGAAACTGGAAAGAAATAGATTAACTCTGTGGGCCTTTGAAAGGGATTGTGGCGCCCACTCAGCAGAAGCCTGTGCATGCCCTGTGCACTCTTTCTTCAGTAGAGTGATTTAGCACCCAGATAATTCTGTCTTGGTACTAATAGCACTTAGCATGCTGCTGTTTTTAAAGAATGAGATGTTCAGTAATCAAGTGTACAATTAATGATTTAGCCTCAAGCATGCAGAAGGTAAGTGGTAATTGAATGAGTCATCACTTTTGTTTTACTGAGAATTGAGTTGGCAGAGGCTATAAAATGACGAAGTGACTAATACTCTGATGTTGGAAGTGAACATAAAATCCTCCAGAGCATGATAGTAAGAGGGGTTCCGGTTGGGTTAATATTTTTGGTGCTGATGTCCTTGGAATGTGCACGTACAAAGTAGAAACACTGCCATTAAGGTTGCTTCCTAGCTAGGTATGGTGGTGCACGTCTTAACATCAGCTGGGAGGCAGAGGCAGGCAGAGCTCTATGAGCCAGCCTAGTCTACATGAATCCTAAGACCAGGACAACCAGGCTACATAGAGAGACCCTGTAGTTGGTGATGGGGTTTTGTTGTTGTTGTTGTTGTTTTGGTTTGGTTTTTTTTTTTTTTTTTTTTAAGTTACTGCCTGCCTGTGCCTCTCAGGAAGGCCGGGCTACATTTTTGTGTTTATGAAACATCTCTTATTTATTGCAAGTGCCACTTCATGGTGGGTGACCTTCCCAAATAGCAAATTTTCATTGGACAAATGTGTTATATTTGAATGTGAGGTCTACTGATGACCCCATTTATTTTTTAATGGAAAGTATACTGTGTGGCATGGGAATAGAACACAGAACAGAACAGCTTTGGTCCAAAGTCATGAGTGTGCACAGCAGGAAGAAACTGATGTGAACACGCAGCTTCCCTTTCCATGACTGCGTCCTCGTGGACAACCCAGCAGCAGCAGTCAGATGCAGGAGGAGTTTGAACTGATTCCATCTGAATCCATTATGTGATGTTTGTGTTGGTGAACGGGTGACTGTGGACAGCGTATAAGATTTCTTTTCTCTTTCCCACTTTCCTCTGCTTCTGCGTTCTGTCCATTGAGACTTCCAACTGAATATGAGAGGAACGGGAGATATGAGGGCTCAAGGTGAGGGAAATGCTTTTTATTTCAAATATTTTAAGTACTTACCTATTTCATTGTTGTAGCAGAGAAGATCAATGCTGTTTTCTGGTTATTCACTTAAGTACAGTGGGCCTGGTTGGGGCAGTATCAAGGTTCTAGTTCTAGAATGTTCTTGAGGCTGCTGGCTCTGCTTGCTGGACCTAGGGAACTGCTTTGCAAGCCAGCAGCCATGAGAGGGCACTGGTGTGCCGTGAAGGCTTTCCTGAGCTCAACCCCACTTGTCTTGATGCCTTGAATAAGGTTGGGAGGGCTGAGGTGGTGTTTTCTTTTAAAATGATGATTATGTAAGTTTATGTTTGCATTAAAAAATGTAGCTCTCATTGTGTGACTATGGAATCCCAGATGGGCTCAGGATTCCGTCTCTAGTGGTAGGCCTCCTCCTGCACTTTCCAGAGCAAGCTCTGGTGCAGGGTTCCATGTGAACACCTTCATTGGCACCTGCTGCTTGACCACCTGCCCATGAGGCCCGGGGCGCTGTGTCAGCTGCCGTTTCAAGGGTCCCAGCTTAGAGCCAGCTTTGCCTCCCCATATGTGTTGCCCCACCCACAACAGGAAGGTGGTATGGAACAAGACAAGGCTTGCCATGCAAGCACTGCTCAGGGCCACTCTGGCCCAGTGTGGTGGGCCCATGCTCTAGGGTGGGACTTGATTTCACTCTGCACTTTCCTGCCTCTGTGCATTTGGTAGCATTGTCCCTGTTCAAAACAAAAACTCAGCAAGCATGATAGCATGCACCTATAGTCCTAGTACTTGGGATATAGAGCAGGAGGACCAGGAGGTCGGGCTCATCTGAGCCTCATGAAGCCCCATCTCCACAAAAATAGAGGACACACAAACACCTCTGCTTCTGGTCCCACTGAACTTCACTAAGTTGTATGTGACCAGGCCTCCTGGTCTGCACCATTACTGTTCCCTCCTGTGACTCCAGCCGACTGCCCATGTTTTTTTGTGCTGTTTCTGCCTCCTCAAGTAAGGGTTCCTGATCCCAAACATGTTGCCAAGCTCGTGCTTGCCTGTGTGACCTGTGGGTGTCTAACGTAGCAATTTTGTTGTGCTTTGAGCCCTCGACTCGTGCAGACCAGTCATCTCGGCTCTCCACAGACAAGTGGGCTGTAGTGTTTCATTTTTCCGTCTGTTTCATTAAGATTAGATCATCTGAGTTGTGGTATTCGTAGTGTTTGTTTTTTCCTATTTTGAGATGGGCCTCGCTTACACAGGCTCACCTCAAGCTCCTAGGCTCTTGTGAGTCTTCTTTCTCAGCCTCCTGAGTGGCTGGTACCACAGGAGCATGGCCTGGATATTTTCAACTATGAAATTGGAATTTTATCAAAATAGAGAAACAAGGGCTGGAAAGAGGGCTCAGTGGCTAAGAGTCCTGAGTTCAGTTCCTAGCACCCACATGGCAGCCCACAACCATCTTCTGTCATGCAGCACTACATGCAGAAAGAGCACTCATCCAGTAAAGAATAATAAGTAAATAAATAAATAATATTAAAAACAAAATAGAGAAACAACCAGATAGATGGTGGTGACAGAGAATGGCTGACCGAGCTGTGTCCTCAGCACCTAACTGAGGAGCAGTGATGCTAAGCCGGGAACGCCAAGTCAGCCTCTGAGCACTGGCTGCTGTGGAACTTGTGGCAAGCATAAGTGTAGTAACAGAAGCTGTGGGTGAAAGAGCAGGATTGCTGGGCAGCACTCACCCGAGTGCAGCAGTGAACTCTGCCTGCTTTGCCTCATTTCAAAGGATTTCCAGTACAGGGGGCTCCTGCACATTTTCCAGCCCTGTAGATTTTTGTGTGCAGTCTTTATGTTTAGCAGTCGGGGATATAGATGTATGCCTCTAGGTATATGTGAGGTGCGTGGGGTCGATTGTCATTTGCACTGAAGGGATGGGTAACCAGCTAGCTAAGGTAGAAGATTCTTTTTCTAGTACAATTAAAAACCACCCTGCCCTGTGCATTTCAGTCGCAATGTGTCTTCGGAACAAAAGGATGAACACAAAGAGGCAAAACCTCGTTCCCTGCGCTTCACCTGGAGCATGAAAACCACTAGTTCCATGGATCCCAGCGATATGATGCGGGAGATCCGCAAAGTGCTGGATGCCAGTAACTGCGACTATGAGCAGAGGGAGCGTTTCCTGCTCTTCTGTGTCCATGGCGACGGGCACGCAGAGAACCTGGTGCAGTGGGAGATGGAAGTCTGTAAGCTGCCAAGACTGTCTCTGAATGGAGTCCGGTTTAAACGGATATCAGGGACATCCATAGCTTTCAAAAATATTGCTTCCAAAATTGCCAATGAGCTAAAGCTGTAGCACAGTAATTACGGTGTAAATTAAGTAGCAATTTAAGGTGTTTTCCAGAACACTGATGGAAATGTATAGAGTAATATTTAGGCAATAACGTCTGCATCTTCTAAATCATGACATTAAAGTCTGAGGATGAGAGCACGCCTGGGAGCGAAGGCTGGCCTTTTCTACGAATGCACTACATTAAAGTCTGTGACCCCTGCCTCTGTCTTGTTTCCATTGCCCTGGGAGTCAGTGGGACACCATCTGCACATGACTCCTGTGTGTGGTGTGAGTGGATGGTGTGTGTGGGAAGCACTGTATTGGAAACATCTCCTTACACTGGCAGCCAGCATTACTAGTACCTCTGTGGGAGATCATTTGGTGCTAAAACATTACAATTGCCAAGAAGGAAAATACTGAATTACTGCTAAGAATTAACCTTAAGACTAGTTGATAATTAATACAGGTTTACAGTTCATGCCTGTGGTTTTGTGTTTGTTTTGTGGTTTTTTTTTTTTTTTGGTTTTTGTTTTGTTTTTTAGTGCAAAAGGTTTAAATTTATAGTTGTGAACATTGCTTGTGTGTGTTTTTCTAAGTAGATTCACAAGATAATTAAAAATTCACTTTTTCTCAGTAAAATCTTGCACTGTCTCCTAATGGTGTATTGAAGCCTCAGTCTGAGTAGGCAGTCCTGAAGCATGCTGCTGACCTCCACCATGGGGTTGGGTAAAGGCAAAGGCCACGTGAAGCACGCAGTACTGAGTGCTCTTCAGACCCCAGCGGTTTAGATCTGTAGCTCCTTCTCTCCCAGCCCTCCTGGTCCCTGGGGAGGAATGGTAGCTGCTTAGTCCTTGGGACCATGCCTTCCCGTGAGGAATCACCAGGCCCTGACATCAGGGAACTGTTTTTCCATGCTATTCCTCTCCCTCCTGTGATTCACACATGAATCAGACCTACAGCTTTTCCCAACACCCACATGGTTATGCAGAGAAGGCCAATGAACTTGACACTTAGTTTGTGGTTTCAATGTTACAGGGAAACTGTTGCATTGATTCAGAGTTGTTAGTTAGTTGTTGATTGATTGGTAGGTGTTACCTGGGGCAGGAAATCTGGACTAGCATTTAAATCACAGCTATTTCTTGTCTTGTCTCCTGGATCAAGGCACTGTCATACAAGACAACATGAGGAGTGAAAACACAGATCCCTGTCTCCTTGAAACTTGCACTCCAGCTGTCAGTTCACAAATGAGAAGTGGGGCTTAGGAGCTGGAGAGATTGCTGAGCAGTTAGGAGTACATACTACATTTGCTGAGGGCCAGGGCTTAATCTTCTGCATCCGTATCTAGCAGCTTCTGGCCTTTGTGGGCACTTGTGCTCACACGCATATCACCACCCCCCGACACACACACACACACACACACACACACACACACACACACACACACACACACACACACACACGAGAGCATCTTGAGAATCTCCAAGGCCGGCAAGAAATGGAGATGTGATTAGATCCTCTTTTCCCTGCTTGTGGTTGTCAGCCATCTCTGGCAGCTGGTTTTGGAATCCATTGTAAGGGGACAGCTGGAGGACGAGAGAGCCCAGCAGAGACCTTCAGACAGCATGGCATCTGGAGGTTGCCTGCAGCAGGCTTAAGTGGGGCTCTGGGAACACTGAGTGAGGCAGCTTGATTGATCCAGGGTGAGAAGGAAAAGGCAGAGGTGACTGTGGTCTGTGCAGTGTGGCTGCTGTGGACCGAAATGCAAGAAACTCGGGGTAGGAAGAAACCCAGAAGAGCAGGTTGGAAGGAAGCAAATGCTAAACAAGGGGGAGAGACCCAGGACTTCAGGACTCTGTGGATGAAGACCAAAACTGAGTAGAGCTGGGGTGCAGTCTTGACACCACGTCGAGAGGTTCACGGGAGGTGAGGCCAGGCAAGCAGCAGTGGAGTAGAGTAGGAAGAAGACCCCTAGCAACAAGTCTGCTGGGACCCTGAAGTCACACCATGTCTTAGTGCCTGGATTCAAGGCCGATAGAGAGAAGTGCTAAGCCAGGAGGTGTCTGGCCTCTTGACCTGCTGCCAGCTGCTTATATCCTTTTAAGTTTTAAAGGTACACATGGGCTTCTGGAGTTCCACCTGCAGACTGTGCCCGCTGGTGCTCTTGGTCTCGATCTCTGCTAAACAGCACTTTCCTCACCAGGGCAGCACTTCTGGGCTGTCCCTTAAGGGTCATGACGAGCTTTTGCTCCATGAATGAATCTTGCTGGATGTGGTGACATGCCTTCCATCAGAGCACCTGGAAGGACAAAGTAGGCTGATCTCTGTAACAGTTCCTTAACAACCAAGATTACCTAGTAAGACCCCGGTTCAAAGAATCACGCCTTTAATCTCAGCACTCAGGAGGCAGAGGCAGGCAGATCTCTGTGAGTTCGAGGCCAGCCTGGTCTACAGAGTGACAGCCTCCAAAGCAATACAGAGAAACACTATCTTGAAAAACCAAAATAAATAAAATAAATGCCACGTAATTTTTTTTTCTTGTCTACTTCCTGGAAGTATCTCAAGTTAGTTAGGGAACGTGGCAGGCAATATGCTCCCGAAGCTAGGGTTAAAATACTAACTTTCCAACCGGCCGGTGGTGGTGCACGCCTTTAATCCCAGCACTCGGGAGGCAGAGGCAGGCGGATCTCTGTGAGTTCGAGGCCAGGCTGGACCGACAGCCTCCAAAGCCACAGAGAAACCCTGTCTCGTAAAAAAAAAAAAAAACAACTAACTTTCCTACCATTAAAAAAAAAAATAGGACTTCTTTTCATCTCTGGAAATGCTGGCCCACTGTGCAGAAATCTGAGGCCAGCATGAAGGGCACCACTTGGATTTAGCTCCCTAAGGTAGAGCACACATGTAACTTGGCACTTGGAGGTGGGGACAAGTGTCTGGAGTTCAAGGGCATCTTGAGCTACATGACACTGTGTTTTAATTTAACATGGGGGGGATGTCGGGGAGAGTGAATTTAAAAAGTACTTTGCAGGGAAGCAAACAACCAGTCTATGCAAAGGTGCCAAGTTTCTCCCCTCTGGTTGATGTAGCAGAAGGCCCCAGAGAGTGAGTGCCATTATGAAGCGGGACCATGTCAAAATGCATTCTACCCGGAGGTCAGCACCTTTGCAGAAAATGAATTAGAGCCCACTGTGGTGGTGCACACTTCTCTTCTCAGTGTTCATAAGTGGTCTCAGTCCACCAGCTCAAGAGTCCTGTAGCAGACATACCGCTCTTCAAGACAGCTGTTCCGAACAGGACCCTGTCTAGGCCACAAAAGGGTGAGTGGCGTGTGTGCCTTGGTAGTTTTGACAGTCTGATATATGCATCCCTTTGATTTTTGTTTTTTCAGAGAACCTCATGTAGCCTGGAGCTATCTTAAACTATTGTTAGAGTGACCACCATGTCTGGAAACACATTGTATCTTTTACCCCTTGACTCTCCCTCCCCAGATGAGGTTTCCACCCCTCCTTCATTTATAGTCTTGGCTGTCCTGGAACTTACTATGTAGACCAGGCTGACCTCAAACTCAGAGATCCGCCTGCCTCACCCTCTCCAGTGCTGGGATTAAAGGTGTGTGCCACCAGTGCCTGGCAAGCATTGGGGTTTTGTTTGTTTCTTTGTTTTTGAGAGAGAGGAGGGGAAGAGGGAGGAAGAGAGAGAGGGTGTGTGTGTGCGTGTGTGTGTGTGTGTGTGTATGGTTTTCTGGAGGTTGAACCAAAGGCCTTAAACATGCTAGTACTTCTGAGCTCAGTTCAGACTCCATTCTCTGCACACTGATGGTTCTAACCTCTCCCACATACCTCCAGAAGTCAGAATGGCACAGTCTGGTGTGGTACACACCTTCAGTCCCAGCACTTGGGAGGCAGAGGCAGGCAGATCTCTGAGTTACCGGCCAGGGCTATAGTGAGTGAAACCTTGTCTCACAAAACAAAAAGCCTGGCATTGGGTGGTGCACGCCTTTAATCCCAGCACTCGGGAGGCAGAGGCAGGCAGATCTCAGATCTCTGTGAGTTCAAGGCCAACCTGGTCTACAGAGTGAGTTCCAGGACAGCCTCCAAAGCAATACAGAAAAATCCTGTCTCAGAAAAAAACAAAAACATAAACAAACAAAAGACAGTAATATCTGACTCGGGCCTGCTGGTCAAGGACTAGACAGATGGACAGCCTGTACATCAGAGCCAATCTGCAAGAGCCCTGGCAGAACGTGCCAGGGTGTGACTTTAGCAGAGCACATCCAAAGCCTGGGTTCCGGTGCCATTTATTTACATAACCACTTAGGGGGTAGGGATCACCCCTTTTCTGGATTATCCCACTCATGGCTTTTATAGCTCTTGAGAGAGGTCATCGCCAACCAGTGGAACCTTAGTAAGAAAAGTGAATCCCATCATGGCGAGCAGGGGGAGTGGGGGAGAGTCGGGAACATCTCTGATCTACAAATCAACTTTCAGGACAGTAGAGCTTCATAGTGAGGTCGTCCTGAGGGGCCAGGGAAGAGGGTTGAGCCTAGCACTCAGGTGCAGGCAAGTGGGATGCTTTTGGTGCTCCCCAGAGTGCTCCTTGCAGGACTGTCCCCACACTGGCATTCAGTCTGCCACCCCACAGTGTGAGGCTGCATAGGGTTAGAGAAGCTTCAGCTCCTTTTTCTTGCATCCCCAGTACCCAGAATAGGGCCACCAGAAGTGCAGAGTGGGCGTGTGCAGAAGTAGGAAAGATGCTTTAGATGTCTGCAAAGGGCAGGACAGCCTCAGTGGCTAAATGGTCTCTGCGTGTCCTCCCCAGACAGGCAGCAGCTGTGGGGTCGGTTAACCCATCGAATCCTGACTTCCAGCCATCAGAGGCTGGGCTGGGAGTACAGCCAGGGTATTGTCGCTTTGATCTCCACCAAGCTGCCTGTTCTTTTGATGATTTTGCAGTTACTGTTTGCTTTTTGTTTGTTTGTTTTTTGAAACAGGTATTTTTCTATAGCTTTGGAGCCTGTCCTGGAACTTGCTCTGTAGACCAGGCTGGTCTCGAACTCACAGAGATCCGCCTGCCTCTGCCTCCCGAGTGCTGGGATTAAAGGCATGTGCCACCAACGCCCGGCCAACGCTGACTTTTTTGTTGGTTTGTTTGTTTGTTTTGAGACAGGGTTTCTCTGTGTAACAGCCCCTCACTGTCCCGGAACTCACAGAGATCCGCCTGCCT